GATGCATGATGATGCATGATGATGCATGATGATGCATGATGATGCATGATGATGCATGATGATGCATGATGATGCATGATGCAACAGCAAATTGCAACAGCTTCTTGTTACTAGTAATTAGGGTCCTTGCTCCTAGTAGCGAGGCCAGGAGCCCCTAGTAACGTCCTTGCTCCTAGTAGTACGGCCAGGAGCCCCTAGTAGCGAACCTTGTTACACGTAGCGTCCTGCCGTTTGTTCGCACCGATCCCTCTTCGACTGGGACTGCCGACGCCTTTGGTCACCTCGGCTTCGGCACGGAGCTTCTCCGAGCGAAGCTCGCGCATCCGATTGAAGCTGTCCTGGTGCACGGCGCGGCGCGCAGCGCCAGGGGGAAGAACCAGTGGACCGACCAGCCGGAAGATCCCCTCGTTGGAGGAACCAGGTGTTGATGTGACATTGGAGGAACAGTTCTGGCTATCTTCAAGCTATTCAAGTGATTCATGTGACAGGACGCTTCTAGGGGCTCCTGGCCTTACTACTAGGAACAACAAGCTACGAACGGGGCTCCTGGCATCGCTACGAACGTCTGGTGAATGAATTGACACATCACACCTGCCGGTCCTCGTCCACGCCTTCAGGACAGTCCTTCGAACAAAAGCCATGAATGCTTCTGCAAAGGAAATAAAACAGCTTGTCTACAGCTGTGAGATGCTGTGACGAGCAAGTAATGTGGTACTATATATATATATATGTGTGTGTGTGTGTGTGTTTGTGTTTCATTATGATGCTGTATAAGTACAAAAAGATTAAATTGCGTTTGCCCGTGTGTTCCCCTGAAATGATTGGGTGCCGTGGAGGAATCACCTGCCTCCATTCGAATGTCATCTTCCACTTGCCCATCTGTGGCCGCCTTGGGCCTTGGACAAGAACATAGTATATACTACAATAACTTGTTTCTAATGGCGATGGCCTCCAACCTACTAGCAAAGTAACACCAGTATACGACGCACAACAAGGTCAGCTCCCATCAGTGCCCTAAGCTCATCTAAGCTCCCTGCTCTGCACCAAGGTCAGCATAGGGGTCCGCCACCACCTGTCAGAATAAACCATCAACAGGAGCATGCCGTTTTCTTGCCCCTCACCGTTTTGGAACCGTCATGATCCCGTTCGTTTTCTGCCCGGTGAAACGGCCAGTGACCTCCGACACGTCTCACGTAACACGTCCGTCCTTATCGGGTCTTCGAACCAAACACGGTCGGTCGAGGGAACCAGGGAGCCGCGCGTCGAACGGGGTGTAGGAGGGAGCCCCTTTGGGTGAGAAGAGGTTGGAGACCTCAGCTGAGAATTCAAGGCAGCTTGAAGGCAGCCGAGGACTGGCAGAGCCGTCAACTGAAGCACTTCCGACAACAGCGTCAATTTTTCAATACCCCTAAGATCCCCTAAGTATAGTTCATGCATGTTCATCCATGTTCAATTCATTTCCCCTCAAGAAAAGAGCTTGGTGAGTTCTTCAGGTCCCTTGTCCTCTCCTTTGTATCACTTCCTATGGTCGCCCATGTCCTCTCAGCTGACTCACTGCATCTCACTGCCGGGCTTCGCGCACTCTTCCGTGCCGTGCGTGCTCCCTCGTTGGTTTCCGACGCGAAGGACCGGGCCTCGGCCGGGGGATCTGTCGGCCCGTCTTGAGGAGGAAGAGGCCAAGAGACGTGGGACGTGTTTAGAGATGTTTGGATCCAGTACAGGGAGGTAAGGTACCGGTACCAGTCCACCTGTTGTGGATCCAGTACCAGTCCCAAGGGGTTTCGATCCGAAACAGGTTGGGTTTTCGTGTTTACCCTCCCACGGCCGTAGGGTCGCCAATGGCCGGTTTTCGTCACGTTCTTTCATCACCGACCGTAAGATCTCACATGGTCTCAAGCTTTCCAAGCGAGTTGCCACTGATCTCTCTATCCACTTGTGTCAAGGGCAGTAGAACGAAGCGAACCTGTGTATACCTTTCTCCTTTCTCTGCAAACCAACCTGTCTAGACCGAACAGCAACGTCCGAAAGACGAACCATATGCTTGAGCACTGACCTCACGCTATCCTCAGCGTGCCCTGAGCGGTGTACTTGAACAGCAAAAAAAAACGTCTAAATGCTTGCAACAGCTTGCAACGGGGTAGTTCCCTTTAGAGGTTCGATAGGGCCTAGGGAAAAACCATCCTCGGCCATTCCGAAAGATGCTCATGGACTCATGGAGAATGCACCCAGCGACAAGACGTTCCTCCCTTGACTTCGGAGGACGACTCCGTCCACTCAACCCGTCGACATCGACTTCGGCCCGTCGACATCTGACTGAAGTCGATTGGAACATCCTTCGCCCGATCGCTCAGCTCTGCACCCGATTGAGATCCTTCTCCCTCTTCTTCCTGAAGAGCCTTCCAGCAATATGTTTGCACCAGGAGAGTCGATATACCACCGCAGGTCCCGTCCAGTCTCTCCCGCGTGTTTGTCGGCTTCAGGGCACGGCCCGGTACCCCTGTAGCCGGGGGGTTACGGGGGTTCGGGGGTTTTGGTATAGACCAATGAAGATATGAACATGCACTTCTGTCTGCCATCTGGTTTGATCACCATGCAAAATCTTTCCAGAAAGAGTGTCGAGTCTCAGTGCGTGGCTGTAGCAAGGTAGTGATGGCCTGAGCATCACGAAAAGGTCGTCCCAGAAGGGGGAAGAGAACAGGAATCATCTACCCTGCAACTGCCTGAAAGCGTTGCGTGGTAAATCTGCTTATTACATAAATGTTCATTTAAAAAGTGTTCATTTCTTCAACCTTGCACTAAACTAAGCAGATGTGTTTGAAGCCGTGAAATTCTCTTTGGGCTTGGCTTTTGCTTTCCACTCCCTCAAGTCTGAGTCGTGGGCGTTCGCCTCGAGTGTGGAGTTGGCAAACGCTTGCCTGAAATGCTGCGCTGAGGAAACCTGAGCACAGACCGTCAACGCCATCCGATGGGAGGAAAAGGCTTGGGAAAAACGGGGCCGCCTCCTTCTCATAGCGAGCACGGTCGTCCTGTGGGCGACAAACGCCATGGTTGGAGATTGGAGGAAAATGATCAATGGTTGATCATGGTTTATCTCAAAATCCGAGCATGTTTACGATGGTGGTCCCGCTCTCAGAATCGGCCTTCTCAAATCTTTCATCACTGAATACAGTGCATGCGGCAAGCACCCGTCTACCCAGCGGTGGAGTTGCAGCCTGTTCCCCTTTCACTCGTTGAACTTCTGCGGTGAAGTCCTTTGCCACGGGCCAGCGACTCTACCGCGCTGGCTGCATGGGCGCTTCATCCATGCGAAGCACTCAGCTTAGACACAAGAAGCAGCGAATTGCCAAGCTCCAAACGTTCACTCTTTGTTCACAGCCCAGTACTTTTGCTTTGGATGCTTCCTAAGTTCATCATTTAATCAAAGTAAGCCCCCAGAAAGCACAAAAGAAGGCCTGCTGAGGTTGCGGCCAAATCCAGCTCAGCTTGCTCGCGCACAAGATTGTCCTCCACATTTTGTAGTAGAGCAAGCTGAAGCCGCGCACAGTACCTCAGCCATGAGCCGCCCTTTCGATGACCAAAATCATCCAAGAAACAAGCTCAAAGCCAGAACACTGTGAATGTTGAGGGACGTAAAACCGTTTGCCGTTCCATGTTTTCTGACACGCCTTCTCCAGTACATGCGTGCGCTCGTTTGATGCCCCACAGATCCCCACAGACTGAACAAAATTATGAGGGTTACAAAGTTACAAGAGACACCCCTGAGCACTTGCAAGGCTTTGCCCGCCTAAACTACGCTGTCCATCCGAAACATCCATCCTCTTCCAGCTTCCGTGCGCGTCTCGATGCGCTTCCCATGAGCAAGAAGACTACGATACCATCTCATACGTGCTCGCCCAAAGGATCTTTGAAGCGAAGCCTATCGGCCTAAAGTCCTAAAGCCATCAACCAAACTCTCTTGCTTCGATCTACCCAAGTGTCGCACAGCTCTTGGCAAAGGAATTTGGCGTCGTGTGCAAAACCTGGGCGTCGACGTGTGTGGCTTCGCTTCTGCTCGATTCTGGTCGATGACCGGGACTGCCTTCTGCTGACTGAGGCCACGCGACGCTCATGGTGAAGCCTTTTGAGCAGCCCCTCGAACTGCAAGGTCCTTAAAGAGTGTCTAGTCGCCTCATATGACCTACACAGACAAAACAAAGATCCGTGGTTTTCACGAGCTGTGCATCTGAGTGTGGAACAACTCTTGAACTCCTGCTCGCAGGCTCTTCCTGGCAGGGCGCTACTTCCTTCATTGACTCGTTGCAACTATCATTCCGAATCCATCTCAGCCCTGTGTCAAGACGAGGCCACGCGACAGCTCTGCTGAAAGCTGCTTCTTGTAAGCCTCCTGCGCTTCGGCTAACGCCTGAAGTCACAGACCAGAAATAGAACATCCACTTTCAAATCAGCTCTCCCACCAAGCCGAGCCTTTTCTTTGGCCTGATACTCTGCGAAGGCAGCTTTTTGAAGCTCGGTCCTCAGTGAATTCAAGGTCCTTGACCGCCGTTTCACATCGTTTCACCCATGGTCGTCCGGCCATGGGGCCATGGATCTCTGACACCGTGGGCTTCCTCCGTCGGCTTAGGTCCTGACATGTCCTCCTCTGGGATCTCATCCATCCAGGCTTCTTTGTCCAGAACGATTTCCAGAGGAGTCAAGTCCTAAGGAGTCAATCAATAAGCCGACTTACCGTGCTGGCGGCAAGAAGCCCCGTCTAAGTCACAACTAGTCTTGGACATCTCATTTTCGAGGACATCTCATTGACGCGCCTTCTTCGTCTTCAAGGTACCGCCCATCATTTGTACCTTCACTAATTGCAGTACTGGTTGGTGATTTCAACTCACTTGAAAAATACATTCAAAAAAATTGCTAGTCAGTCAGTGGGTTCAATCATGTTCAATCATCTTAAAGGTTGAACATCCTGCGTCTGCAGGTCATTTTTCAAAGCCCGCGCCCCCCCCCACCCCCAAGGAACTGTCATGCCCGATCCTGTGGTCTTGGCGCGATATCGGACCCTTGAAGATGGCCCCCCCCCCTCTGTGGGCGCCGGAGACGCGATGCGAACTTCGTGCGGATTCTGTCAATATCGGCCCGTCACGGTCGCGGCTCAAGAAGGTCACGAGTGCTCTTTGACCCGCATCGTTCTCCCGCAGCTGCCGCAAGCGCTCCTGGAAACCGATGTCCAGGAAGGAAACCGATTCCGGCGAAAGAAAGCGAGCTCGGAGTGTGCTCCGACGGGTGGTTTTGAGGTTGACCCCCCAGGCCCAACTTTGAGTCAAAGCGATGAGCTTGACTGTGTGACTATGCTCGACTCTGACTGCGTGAAAAAGCATGTTTCGCCAATGGAGCCTCCTCCTTTGCAGCTGCTTCTTCTCTGGCCTTTCTCCTTAGTCAAGTAAGTGAGTTGCAAGTTGGCCTGTTCATGTCACTAAACTGAGATACAAACTCTTCAGGAGAAATCCACTTTTCTACAGCAATCTCATGGTCCTGCAGCCACGACCGGGACAGCTTCTTCAACTGAAGTCGGTTGAAAGGCCAAAGGGTCTGTCCTGCACCTTCAGTACTGAGTCAGAGTCCTCAACCTCCTGCAGGGTTGGTTCTGGGACCTCTTCCTCAATCTGAAGCTCCTGACAGGGACCCAGCAGCTTGCGCTGTCCAATGATCCATCCTTCGCTGGCTCCATCGATACTGTTTCTTGCTCACTAAGGTAGGAGCCCCTAAGATCTGGTGGATGCGGCTACACTTCTCTTTGATTCCATCCTGATGCGGCTACAACTGCTGGAACATCACTCACTCTGCCTTCGAACCCACGAACCGCACCCAGGGAGGCCCAGGAAAGCTTCTTCAATGGGCGAAACAGAAAGAGCGGCTGCGGCTGAAAGCGTTTCAGAGGAACGACTGAGGAAGGAACGATGATGTTCTTCTTGTCGCCTGGATGTGGAGAGCTGATGTCTGGATGTGCCGTTCGCTGACATCTGGACACACGGATTCATCGAATGTCGGAGCCAAAACCGGGGGGATCCCCCAATATATGTCCCGTTATGTCCCGCCAAACATGGATGTCTGGTGGGTTTCCCCATCACCTGGGGGAGGTCAGGTCTTATGTGATATATGGGGTTGCAGGGGTTCCCTCATGTTGAAGCAATCTCGAAATTCTGCTCATTGAAGCCGTTCCTCCTCCGCAAAAGGAACGGTGATCCAACTGTTGCCCCCAGCGCCTGGCAAAAGACCTAGCTTCGGACCCGCCTTGGCAGGCCTTGAAGAGCTCGTTGAAGTGCATCCGGTAGTCCGCAGATAAGGATTGCAGCAAGTGGATCTGCATGGATTGCCATGGATGAAACGCCCATGGAACGCTCATGGACGGAATGCCGTGTTCAAAGACCAGAAGAGGGAGAAGCCGATGAAAGATCTGGATCTGTTTGACCATGCCGATCGGGATCAAACCCTGAAGGTAATTGCATCTCCACCTGTTGGCTTATTTCAGAAGATTGAAGTTGACCCAGACCGCCCGCTTCCAGCTGTTTTTGACATGTATACAATAACAAGACAAACAAAACACCAAACCGGCAGGATCCACTCAAAACGGAAAACGCCTGCAAACGCCTTCTGCTGTTGGTGACCAGCTCAAAGGGCTCGTACAAGAACTTCTGCTCTTCAGCCACAATCTCAGCACGTCCATTTCACCGAACGGATGACCCAGAAAGAAAGCATCGGACGTGGCGAAAGCCAGCGAAGAGCACTAAGACTTGGGCCGAATCAGCGCTGGTCCCTGAACCCGTCTCTTCAATGGTCTTGATGCCTCAGGGAGATGCTTTGTGCTCATCTCCACGTCTGGGGTGTCATATATATTAAAAAAAATATCTCTCTTCACGTGAGCCGAGAAGTGAGCATGGTGCTTATCCGGGATATCAGAGAGTGACCCATGCAGCATGAACAATACAAGTTATATTGACTAATTAGTAATAACTATATAATATATCATATATAATATAATATATATATATAATGACCCAAAGCAACTAAGACTACTGATCATTCCGAAGTATGTTGGCTCCTTCTCTCTCCCTCTCCCTCCCTCTCTCAGCATTGCTCGGAGTTCGTCCGATGCTTGTCGGGAGGAGCATAAAGCTGTCAGAAGCAAAACAACTGACAAACTTGGATATGTTTCATCTCAGGTGGTAATGTGTTCAAGTTCCTGCTGCCAAAGAACGCTGCTAACGCTGCTGCTTTACTGAAAACGACCCCCGTTCATCCCAACCCCGTCAGCCCTCCGGGGATCAGGTCATCCAGGTCATCCAGGTGCCACCGGAACAAAAACGGGCTCGTGAAGCGGCACCGGGAGTCGGTTGTCGGCAGTGCAGTGCCTGACTCTTCTCCTTTCGCATCTTTGCCTTTGTCCTTCTCCTTTTGTCGCTTTGGGCTCGGCCGGGCGATGCTCCGCGCGAAGCGCGCTCCGCGCTACCCAGGCGTCTTCGCGCGGGACGTCTTTTCGCGCGAAGAAGTGGTGGGAGGAATGGTAAAGCGAAGAGGCCCAGGTGGAATGACCAATGACCGGACGATGGGCCTTCTGCTTTTCGGCATCTTCTTTGGCCTCATCCAAATGCCAACCCTCCATCAAGACCATGTACAAAATAGTAAAATGTGCCATTCCAGCAAACTCAATTGGATGCTCTTTGGCCACTGACCGAAGCCCAACCCACATTTCTGCAACGTGAGCATGGGCATATGCCATCATCCAACAGCTGAGTATCCGGCTTTCTTCTCCCTCGGACTGATTTCCAAACCATGAATCCGCAACAGCTGTCAGAAGGCTTACAGGCCTACCATCATAGTTCCAACTACAACTTGCTGCTCGTCTGGCGTACATTGGTTATTGAACTCTCGTCCAACTGACGCCAAGCTGCGCTGCTCTTCTCTTCACCTCTGCCTCCACTTCTGCCAACTGCTTGGCCCGCGCTTCGGAGGCCTCACCCGGGCGCGAACCCACCGGTGGGGTTCCCCACCCGAACCGGTGCGGGCGAACCGGTGCGGCCTTGGTGTGCACCCCAGGCCACCAGTTGACCATGTACTGCTCGCGGCCTCGCAGGTCTGGAACCGCGGAAGGTCCATCGAGACTCTGCTTAACAAAGACTGATGAGCGTTCGGATCATGTTCGGATCAGAAGTAGTCTGTGTAAAAAGAGGGAAAAACCTTGGCGTTTTGGGCTCTGCCCTCACTTCCAAGATCGTGTTTAAAAACTGTTGACCTGGTTTTGTTTTGCAGACTACTGCAGAATCATGCCAAATCCTTAGTAAAACAATGGTTGTTTGGTCAGAAGCATTCAATCAGTGGTATGTGCAGTGATGTGTTCACTGCAACAAACAAGCTGTTCGGTCTCTTGAGATGGGCGTGGATTGAACTAAAGAGGGAGATCCCTAGTGGCCCTAGTGAGACACGGAAGAAGCAAAATTGAACCAAAGCCCACTGGGGGGAGGTGGGTCTGCCTGTCATTACACGTATAATTCAGAAAGAATGGACATGCCGCATCTTCCTGAAGCAAAGTGGTCCACGTCCAGTACCAGGTCTTTCTTCAGCTCCGGTGGGCAGCTAGAGCCTCTCAGCCTTGAGTGTCTCACCAGGCAAGGGTCTGCAAGAATAGTCTGCAAAAACGCGTTGACATGGCTGAGGGCTCAACATTTGGAATTCCAGCTGCTCACTTTTTCGAAGCATTCTCAGCTTTCTGGTGATGGTGCTTTCCTCCTGCCACAAGCTCACAGGGTCGCCATATCAGATATCCACACCGACCAGTGCCTACTCCACCCCGCGCCGCGACTCAACCGTCGACCGACTCGACCGACTCTCAACTCACTCCTCGCTCACCGTCCGCTCGGGATAGTTGGACACGGCCAAGCTTGAGGTCAAGGAGGTGATCTGGCACCCTTTGCCGCGCATCGGATCCCAAAACCTCGGACGGAACGCGCCCAGGGCTCGACTCGGTCGGGCGTCGGCCTATTGGTACGCGGTCCATTCTGGAGAGGGATTTCGCGAGATCAGGAACTGGGCACGATGAAAGAGGGACGACGTTGGGTGGGGAACTCTTGCCAGTGGCTCTTGACGAACATGTCTGTACTAAGTCTATTTCTGCGTTCATTTCCTTCCGGGTGCCTCTGCCAGTTCTGAGAATTCCCTGTTGATGGACAACACCTACTCTTCGACGCTTCACTTAGTCTCGCACTCCTTGATGAGCCTGTCTCGAATCAACTGCCTGCAGATTCAGGAGAGACGACAAACCGGTCAAGTGACGTGCCTATCCCACCGTGGGATAAAGAACCCGTCATAATTGCTAGTATATTACACACATGTAAAGTGTATATATGCATATATATCATCTATATCTTGGTGATATCGTTATTAAATATTATATGTTGTGTATGTATGTGTGTATATATATATATAAATATACAGCCTAGCCTGAGAAGGGGGACGAAAGCCAGGTGCTGCTAAACGGGCTTCTCTTTGTCTTACTAGGGGGCAGGAATCCGATGCGGATATGTAGTCAACCTCGCAGGCACCCCCACCGAAGCTCAATCCAAATTCATGGACTTGAGCTCACTTTCGGCGGCTCTCTATGGATTTGGCGGGCTGCGGGTTGTCCTGGAAACTCGTATCCTACGTGCGGCTGCGGTCTGCTCTGTACGTGGGTCCCTGTCTCCACTCGAGTGCTCAAGGCCCATTGTCCAAATAGTCTCCAAAGCCCTTCATGATGCTATTGATGCACTACTCGGCGTCCATTACATCACTCGCATCACCAGACCCCATTTTCACTGCTTTTCGGACCCTCGCTTTGCCGCGATCTCCCCTACCAAGCTCTGGGCTCACCCTATCAAAAGGTTTCGCTCAGCGACCACCTTGCCTATCGGCTGGCTTTCGTTATATACACCGGGTGACCGACTGGCAAAAACAAAACCATAAACGCGGACAATGGCAGGGAAAACTTGAGTGCATGCAAATGCGTCGGTATATCCCATTCCCTGTATTTAACAGTGGATGATGATGGTTAGGCTGCAGGCCTCTCCCTAAAATAGTGGCAATTATATGTATACTGTAATTGTTTACCGACTGTTACAGGTTTACTAGGACACCCCCACCAAATGCTTACCTCTCATCGTACCTCTATAGTCTTGGCTTTCTGCTGTTCATTCGCTCGCAGAAAACACGCCACCTCGCGACGTTCTCGTGCTCGATCTCGGCGCGGAGGGCGTCGCAACGCTCCTGGAGAGGACACACGTGATGGTGACACGGATGACTGACTTGGAAAGATCTGTGTGTTTGATGGTGTTTGTGTCCTCTTTGGGGTGGGGTTGGAAAGATTTGGGGGGAGTCGTTTTCGACATGCACAGGCCACATAGTGGCCTCGGGGTCTGTGGTTGTGTTTGTGGGGTGTGAATGCTGAAACCGCATGAGGCAAGGGAAGTACAATGAAATACACATAAATACTGAAAAGAACAGGCTTAATAGTAGCTATATGCCGCAAAAATCACCAATAATGTTGCTCTACTTCAACATACTTCAATATACTTCAGTCATCTTCAATCTATATAAACAGTATTCCTTTTGTCACTGGCTTCGCCTGTTTTTTTGCCTCGTCTTCGCCATGCTTCGCCCGTTCCTTGGACTTGGAGGCGATGGCATGACGCTCCTCGAAGTCGACACAGAACTCACCTCGCTCAAGCCTCGGATGAGAGAAAGCATCTGAAATTCCGGAACCTGGTTCAGATTGCTGAGGCTAAAAGAATCTTAAAAAATGCTCAACACAGGAGACGCAGTGGTTGAAAAGGGGTCAAACACAAGAACCTATAGAACTGGCGCAACTATCCACAGGGCATGATTCGATTTGTGTCGATTTGTTGTGTTTCTCGAAGGAAATCTTGCGATTGCCCCAACTGAAGAGCACACCGAGCTAATTGTAGGAACTGAGGAAGACTGAGGAACTCACTTTTCCAGATCTGGTGCATTGCTGTTGTGATCAATGAGGATTCGGAGCTTCTTCCGCAACGCTTCGATCTGCACCATTGCACGCCGCATGTCGATTTTTGCCGCACGGGACCGAGTCAAAATCGCAAGAAGTATCTAACCTTGAGGACATCGGACCGCACCCACCAATCCAATCGAACCAACCAATCCACTTGGCATCGGCACAGAAGCGCTTCGCCTCGTGCGACATCAGCTTGCGCTTCGCAGCGGCTTCTTCCTGACTGCAGCGATGTCTCACCGTTGGGAGAACGTGCCAGAACGCGTCGTCGTTGGCTGAACAGCTGAGTCTTTGACAGAAAGCTCCACCTCCTGTTCAGGTCACAGGAATCAGAAGAATCGTACAGAAGTCCAATTAAATCAACACAAGAATCGTAAAGAATCATGGTCTTCTAGTGTCTACTGAGTCTACGTCCACTCCCTGAAAGACCAAACCTTTCAGAATGGTGCTGGAGTCTGTTCGAAGGTTTCTGCTCCTCGTCATCACCTTTTGTTGCATCTGCACCTCGCTGACAGCTACACTAGCTTCCAATCTTCGAGGTCAGGAACTGCACACACAACCAGATGTCAGAATCGGAATCAACCAATCCTGCATTGTAATTACAAAACAATTACACTTATATATATATACAAGTATATACTATAACTGAAACAGTTCGACGACATGTGCTTTCCTCCTGAGGCTGTGATAGCGTTGTTACACCGGTGCAACGGAAAACAACGCAAGGCACCTGCAACAGCAGGTGGCACCCACACCGGAAATGCGTTCACGTCGGTGTCATCCAACCTGGCCAGGTTGGCAAAAAATGCTTGATCCTTTTCGTCGGTGTGTATGCTCAAGTGTGTGTGTGTGTGTAAGCTCTACAAAATAAAATTTGGGGGCCAATCGCTTCTAGGTTGGAGGCCGTCGCTATTAAGTTGGAGGCCATCGCTATTGGATGCTATTCGTTTGAAGGCCATCGCTTCTATATTAAATCACTGAGATAAAACATAGGACATAGGAGAGCAACAAGGTCCCGTAGGATCGAGTGATCCTGAAAATTCCTGGAAGTATACTCTCACCCTGTCAGCGATGGCTCTGGCGCAGGTGGAATCACCCGAAGGTGCCAACACGTGATCGCCCCATCAAACGTTGATGAGTTCTGTGCAGAGATCCCTATGAACCAAACGTGTCAACATGTCAACGCCTAGTGTGGCGATGAGTCAAAGAGACTGGCCCCCTTGGAATGTGCGGCCGTCAAGTGCACCATACACGTGATTCCTGGTCGAGGATCCTGGTTTCAGGGAAGACACCGGTGAACAGGAATGGACAGAGCACGGGCAAGCCTTGGCTGGTCCCATGTATTTAGGAGTTTGCTGGTAGTAGCGTTCGGAAGTGCTGGGTGAACACTGCATTCTCTGATTGCACTTGTTTGCGTGACCGAAAGGGATGCTAGCAAAAGTAGTCTTGCTAGGTAGGCGAGCATTCTTCCGGAATGATGCCGCCTGCTTTCAGACCCCGACATGTGCGCACCAGGCACGCTGATTGTTCGCACCCCAGCATCCCCTCCTTCTCGCTCTCCGTCGACGCCCCACTCGCCCCTCCGACGGCTGATCGATGCGAAAGCGGTGGCAGCTCCACTCGAAGGCGAAATGTGCAGAGGTCTCATCCCCAAAGGTCTCATCCTGCCGCGGCCACGGCGGGGTGGGGCTACAATCGATCGATGGCAGTTGGGCATCAGGCCCAAAAGAACCCCCCAAATAGGTAGAAAAGTGTGTCTCCCAACTCAACATGCATTGGAAACCGTTTCTACTTATTTGGGCATCCGGGATCACTATAGACCAATGAAGATCTTCTGAGGCCTCTTCCGCTTTGAGGTGGCTGTCGTCCTGTCGAACGTCGCCGGCGGTCGAACGCCTCTCGAAAGCGCCTCGACTGAGTTCACTGGGAGTCGGGCCGCAGGCACGCTGATCTCGGATCCCGGTTCGCTCCAAACCAGGAGTCCATCTGCACCTCCGGTGCTGATGGCCACAGTGCCTGAAAACGAGTGACCCCAGGTGCCAAACGTGCAAAGCATACATTCTGCAGTGATGTGGCTGAGAGCAAGGCTGTCTCGACTACAAACCACCTGCCACAAGTGGTGGTTTGAAGTCATAGTCACAGTGCTTCTAGTTCATAATTACACATCTGATCAATCATGACTTTTTTCAACAGGTCTTACCAAAAGATACCAAAAGTATGTCTGTTTTTGCCAAAAGAACCTCAAAGAACCAAGGTCCATGGAACATACGCCACTCATGCAAAGCGGGACGCAGCCTGGGCGGTCCCACCATTGTAGGGGCTGTGGAGGGTCTTGCACAGCAACTCGTCGCCCTGGCGCTCCGCAGTGGTGGAAACAGGTGGTTTCGCCCCACGAGAGGCGGCGACGATGCCGCCATGGATTCGGGAGTCTTCTCGGGTGAAACCCCTGGAGTCGGGGAGTATTTTGGGGATGTCCCCGCTTGACTGTCAAACAGTCTCGCCCCAAGTCTAAGTGTCCACGTTGCAAAGAAAAGCGTGTTCTGCAAACCCTATCATCTGAGCTTGCGACCGCAGGAATGCCTGGAAGTCAAGACTCATCTGAAGAAGACATTATGAAGATCATGAGGTGCTTGATGGTGTTTGGCTGAAAAAGTGTTTGAAGCTTCTAGCATCTCCACTCGCCACAGAAAGTGAGCAAATCCTGTTTTGGAGGGTCACTTCGTCAAAAATCGAGTGTAAAAGCTTGAGGCTCAGACCAAGCTTCAGCACCGAGCCATCCTGATGACGCTCCGTCCGACTCTTCTCTCTTCTACGAGTACAGCGACTTCGGGAGCAAAGTCTCCAAGTCTTATATATATATATATATACACATACAGTGTATAATATGAGCAAGTTTCAAAAGAAAATCCGCCCCAAACAAAAGACCAACCAAACACTGATGATCCTTCTGTTGTCCCTGGTCAAACAAGCTCAGTGCCACACGCCAGCAGGGTCAATAGTTTCAACATGTTTCGACTCATAGTTCAAGCCAATGAGCAGCAAAAAAGCGAGGAAAAAAGGAAACAACTGAGAAGAGTGCCATGCAGCCCACCATCAGAATCGTAGAACTCAAGTTTGTCCTGCTGCGTGCTGCTGGACAAACACGAGAAATGCGGCGCACGATCGATCCATGCCACGGACGCATCTCTCCGGTGGCGTTTGGGTCTGAAACGGTGGCGTTTGGGTCCGTCCAAAGGATCCGACTTGCAAGAAGACTTGGAACCGAGTTGGTGTTTGACGAAGGTTTCGTAAGACGGAGTTTGGGCTGCTAGGGAAGTTGCTGCAGGCTGCTGATGAGATGATGTGCTCCCGGTGGAACAAGGCCTTAGTGCTGAAGGGGCTCATGAGGTCCGGCAGTATATATATATATATGTATATCCTTTGACAGACTCAACAGGTCAGAAGCGACAAGTGTTACAGTATTGACTGGGAGGCGTTGGCCCAATTGGTCACCCAACCAATGATGGGGTGACTGTGTTGAGCGCCTAAGCGTCACGATGCTAAGCGTGCTAAGCCTACGCAGCACGTCACGCCTTTTCATCACGGCCGCCGACGGTTCGTCGCGACTCCAACCGAATGGGCCAAAGCACGGTTTGATGAAACCTGTGGTGACTCTTCCCCCGGCCACACTGCAGAGCCCCCCTGGGACCAACTCCGACACCGCTGCGGACCAAGTGATGGCTTAGAGGCTCCCACACCTCCTACTGGGACCATAAGTCATGATCTCTTGCAATGCTTTCGCGAGCGAAGCTAACGAAGGATCCGACACCGCCAAGCGACTCTTCACTGGCGTGGCAGCTGACTTCACCATGAGCCCCACATGCGTGGGCCTCAACGTGAGAGAGATGGTATATTTTTCGAGTTCGTCTTGGTCGGAGACGATATACCCCCCCAGCGAGTTAGGGGATGTTAGAGGTGTTTCCTCTTGGAAGCTGTTGACTGACAGAAGCTGTCTGGATGTCCGAACTCATTCCCTCGGGTTTCTTGGTGGTTTGGATGTCCCATTGCTGAGTGTCCTGCTTTACTCTGTTGCTCTTAAATTTGATCAGAGATTCGATGTCCAAACACAAACTCAATGTCAAACAGCGATCTTGGACAGTAGCGAGCGCCGTTTAAGCGCATGAAAGATTAGGTTCCTCGCGTTGCATAGATCGTCACCTCACCAGCTTCATCTGTCAGTACTGAGATGTTGAAGCAACAAATCTCAAATCCCATCAACTTCCATATGGCATGCATAGGTATTAAGGCACTAAGGACCATGCCGCGCCACTTGCAAATCCCACAGCGGCTTCCGACCTCCCATAGGTTGTCTTCTGGAGCAAAAGAAAGCGAGCGTCCCGTGTGTGGCTCAAAGGCCCTACGTGTCGTGAACCGCACAATGTCCTGTAAGGAGACTCTTTAATTTTTGGGGTGGTTGTTGATTATTTCCACATGTCTAGACTCTAGGCTTCTCTTGAATATCTATTATATTCTATCATGCTATCCAAATGCATCCTGGCTTCAAGCATCTTCAGACTAAGTAAGGTACCGGAAAGACCGCCACAAAAATCGACAAACGAACCATGCGCCGGCGCACTTGGAGATGGAGCACACGGCGGTGGGCCGTCCCTCCACCGTGTCAGAGTTCAGCTTCGAGGACCAAAAGCCCATGGCCTGACGGACACGGGACCAACAAACAATCAGAGTCACCCCCACCTTAGATTCTTCTCAGAGTCCCATCCTTTCAATCAAGTGCCTTCATAGGGCTGAATGCAGGTTTAGAGATTGATCATGTCGGATGAATAAATCCCCTGAAAAAGGCCTCCTAGTTCATCCGAGCCCACAAAGCCTCGGAACATGGCCCAAATTAGAAGTATTATTGGTGGCTAATGTCCCCCTGAATCAGTTCGTTGGGCACTAGAACCCACATATTTCTCGTTGACCACCGATGGATAGAACAGAATCAGACTTCTGTGGAGGTCAACCTACCAGGGATTAAGGGGTCCCGGTAGGAAGACTCAGAGCCATATAGATTGATCAAGCATCTCCACTATGTGGCTGCGAAAAAAGTATGTTCAACTGTTCTTAAGCAACAAACAGTACCGATGATTAACGGTCAACTGTACATGGATCATGTCTGTTCTGCTCTTGCTCCTTTAAGTCCAGAGACAACACATCCGAAATCTGGAAGCAAGCCATCAAAAAAAAGAACTGAACCCAGTGGGTCGTACTGCCTTGCATCCAAGCGGGTGAATTGAGACGGACACTTGTGAGCAAATAGCTACGTTCGTAGCTTCTTGTTACTAGTAGTGATGCCAGGAGCTACATTCGTAGCTTCTTGCTCCGTTCGTAGCGATGCCCTTTGTTACCAGTGGTGTTCAATAAGAGTGATCCTTCCAAAGAGAACACACCTTGGGAAAGTGGCTACATGCAGGTCTTCCGCGGGTTAGGAAGGTTGCCAGGGTCCTGCTTTCCGGTCTGTTTCAAGACAAATCACCCGGTCACGTGACCGGCACCCGGCTTGATCAACATGCGGATGACTCTCGTCAGTTCTGTTTGGGAGAGCTCGGAGTATCCCCCAAATGGATCCCAATCCTTCTCGGTTTCCCTCTCTTCGGCCTCTCGATGGATCACCATGTCACGGGGTTCGAAGCTGTCCTTGGGCCTGGTGTCCAACACAGGTCCACATCCATCCGATTCCAAAACATGCTTGGCTCGAGGCCCCCGCGCGTTCCTAGGGTGGAGGCCTAGTAAAGGCCCTTGCTACTAGGTTCGAGGCCCAGGGCTCATTAGGTTAGTTGGAATGATTTCAGATGTACATGCTTCCACCGACTCTGGGAACTCCCAGATCTTTTCAAATCAGTAATCAGGCCGGCATCACGTTCGCACTGACCACATGCAAGATGCCTAGTATGACTGGAGAGCGTGTTCCGGCGTTCCCAGTTCCCAGCTCTTCGATTGGATTCTGTTCAGCTCATTCCTCGTAGAGGGTAAATAGGCAGGCCAGGGTTTGTCTCATGTTCTCACCAGTCAGTTCCAGGGGTCCAACAGGGTGTGAGTTCCAGGGGTCCAACAGGGTGTCTCATCTTCTGCCAAGCTTCGTCCTTTGTGCATCCGACAGCCAACAGCTTTGGCGGCATATTGAGCTCTTCAGCCTTCTCCTGATCGGGATGCCCACAGGTGTGTGAGTGTGTCTTGGCACAAGAAGAGCCCCGAAAGAAATTGCTGGAAGGTGGAAGTGCCGGAAAATAGCCAAAACCCTATCAGTGAGTGAGGGTGTTCCCTAGTTTATTACACATTCCATTCACATCACCCACATGGACCGAAACACAAATCCGGCCCACCTGCTCGTGGAAATAGATGTCTTCCACAGAGCCCAGGTGTTCCACCAGCCCAAGCATTTTCACCTGAGAGCCAAAAGCTGATCCTGTCTGGACTTCAAAAACTGTGCGATGTGTCTTCTTCAGTGGCAAAACCAATTCGTTTTGTACGCAATGAACAGCAATGAAAAGAATTGAAAAGACATGCAGCATTCCACCTCTCAAAGAAAAAGAAAAAAGCCTTTGGTGACCCGCTTCCTCACCATGTTTCGGAGGGTCAAGTTGCTGAGCTTCCAGCTTTCGGTTCGCGCAGGGAGAAAGACACCATCGCTATCCTGCGCAAGGGCTGGAGACCGACCGATGTCGTCAACTGCTGCTTCCCACGCGTCCCCACCGGCCCCACGTGCCTCCCATCAAAGAGGAGGGCTGCAACCTTCAGCGACAGACCGTCCTGCACGCGGCAGACCTTCCTTGGGCATTCTGTTTCTCAGTTGAAGTCTGTCCATCCCAAATGAAGACAGTACAGTACTTGCTTCTGGGTGTTCTATGGTTTTCGAATACTCAGACTCTTACGACACGCCTGGTCACTGGTCGCCCCCCAAAGGACCTTTGAACCAGCCAACTCTCTGACACCATCTTACTCCCCAATTCTCAGAAACATCATGCACGATGTGGGCCATCTCTTCACCATCTGAACCATCGATGCCACCTTAGGCCAGTCCTCCCTGCACCGCACTGCCGCGCGCACGCACGCCGCCAGGTCTCCCGTCCTCCGAACTGGTACTGCAGAGCTTGGCAATGCCCACTTCACTGATCCGGTTGCTGTCAATGACCTGCCGACACCCACACGTCGGTCCGGACCTCACATGGGCGTTTGTGGAAGTGGGCCACCCACTGAACGGGTAGAGGACGTCTCTTTGTTCTTAAAGGGGAAAGGGTAACACATGTTGGCACTTGAGGCACTTTTTATGACTTATGCAGAAAGCCTACACCCACGCAGGTTCCACACTCTAGATTCTAGATGTTGTTCTTGTGAGCTTTGCAAAGTACTCTAGGCTCCAGACATGTCACTACATACAAATCAAACGAAGCAACCAGCATGCCGCCTGTGCTTCTGGCCATGGATCCACCGCGACAGCGTGAATGCAGCCCGAATCGGTGCCTGAAACGAGCATAAACAACAGCCATGTCTCAAAATGACAGGACACACAACATCACCCAGCAACTTGAGATTTCAAGTTTCATCGGAATGTCGGTTCTCAAAGGGTTGCGTGAATGCACCATCCCAGAATGTGGTCGAAGTGTAGGCTGCTTTTGGCGTACTTTACCTTCTACCAGGCTCTACCTCCTATGTTGTAAGACTTTTCTTGCACCACAGCTTACGCGTTGCTTGCGCAACCACAAATGGGAGCGTATGCACGCTTTCTTTTGCATGGAAGGGGCTTGCCCCTCATACCAATGGTGTTCATTCCCGCGGCGTTTTTGGTGCGCCTGCCAAGAGGAACTTGCCGCGTGCTTCGGCGGTGAGACTGGTGACGGCCGAGGTGAAGCGTAGGAGCTTGAAGCCCTTGGGATCTTCACCACGAATCACCTGACGAGTTCGGCGACCAGTAGGTGGAACGACCTCGGGATGAAGTGGCATCCGAATGGTCAGAGGAGGCCCTCCGGCCCTCGGGTTCCCAATTGAAAAGGACATGGGGTTCCCAATTGAAAAGGACATGGGGAAAGCAAATAGCCCATTCCATCCAACAAAAAGTAATAATAATATGGTAATAATGTCCAGTTGGCAAACACGTTCTTCTTATTGACATTGTTGTTCCTTCTTGAAGACTGCACTTTGGTCTGCGCAGTCTTGAACAAACTCTGAGTGCTCCGAGAGCCATGTCGGAATCCCACCTGCCACAGTCGTAGTCTGCCACCTTCATCGGCACTGGCGCAAACCTGCCAAAGATCATGGCAGGCCATTCACTTCAGCATCGATCCATGCAGAATGCATCGCAAAAAAGCGGGTTTTGGCTCGGATTGGCTCGGATTGGCTCTGTTCGCAACGGATATCACGAAGCAGCGGATGGTGCCTGCAGCCCGGTGCCAATGGGGCAAATGCTCGTGATCGTGTGTGGATGAAACCAACACAGCAGCTCCATCTGCCTGGCTCCCCCAAGACCCGCTGCGACGCGCATGAGACGAACCGAAGACTGGAGATGGTCATCATTTGCTACACCCCTCCCCTCCGAGTGACAGAGTCAGAAAAACACCCCAGGGATCCGTAGAGTTCCTGTAGTATCCGGTGTTCATGTTAGATGATTGAACAAGATAGAACAAGGGACCTGAAGGAGACCACGCGTTTCCTCGAAAAAGCCCAGTGGCCATCACGTCCATGCTACGAAGCAAGTCAGGGATACAACTGGTCGGCTCGTACGTACATGTCATCCTGCAATAAGAATGCAATTTGATGCTGCTCTGTGCTCTCAACACAGCAAAAAAAGAAACCATGTGTCAAAATGTGAACATGTGCGAAGCTTCTCTTGCATTCACATGCAAAGATGATAGCATCCTCTTCAAAATCAGCTTCTGAATCCGCGTCTTCTCTCCTGCCATCCACATTCGGTTCCAATTTGCATCACACTGTCAAATTCATGCAGGGCGGACTTTTTGGAAGGCAGCTTGATGGTCCAAACTTCTCCCTCTGCAGTGGTCAGCACCTCTAACAACTGCACGTGAAAATCAAGAGTCAACTCCTTCCAATGGCTCAGTAGCTGAGGGCAGGACCGCTTCTTTGGAGTCTGGAGTCGTTTGTAAGGAAGCCACCTGACTCACGGGCAGCCAAGGTGGATTTGACCACGCATGGGACAACAGGACACCTCGACAGATGCAGGTCACGTCGTGTCCTCTGGATCACGACCAAAAATCCGGCGATGAGGCAGCTTTGGTGTTTCTCCAAACAGGGTGGAGAAACCTCGAAACCCCTTCTCTCAAACCAGTGGGCGCTCGCTCCTCCGTGCGAACCCGCCGCAGCGGAACCGGCCCAGTGAAGCGCCCGGTGAACCGCCTGGCCCAGAAGTCGATGTGCCAGGCGTTGAGTGCCCACGCTCTCCAGGTCGGCCACCTCTTCAAAGAGCGGAACACATGGCGTGGTCGAAACACCTGTGGTGAAGAAGTCGACAACGAAGAGGAAAGAACATGCTAAAGCCTCCAGAACGTTTGATAGAAGCATTCGACGCATTCTGAACGCATTTGGGGAAAAAAAAGAGACACGCATTCTTTCTTGAACATGTATGTGTATGAGTGCAAAACAAAGTGCGGTATCTAGCCTCTAAGTGAAATGTGTTGGACACCATGAAGCTACGCATCTATTGACCTCAACCAAAGATAAAGCCGATCAATGATTCCATTGGCCCCATCTCATGCGGTCAAGCTGGCCTTCTTCAGCTGAAACATCCCAGTGGACAATGCCATCTGCGGCCTGCCATGCCCATCTGGGCTCTGGGAGGAAGATCAGGGATTCAGCTACTACACCAGTCCAGGAAGATCGGAGATGCTACTGTCTTCGTCCAATGTTCTTCGTCCGATGCGGAAGAGCGGACGGTGATGCGCTGCTCGGGACCACCAACGTGGGCAGGCGGACGCTAGGGCCAGGCCAGCGGCGAAGCTCTGCACTTCCTCCGGGCTCGAGCGCGCCAGCGCCTGGCCATGGAGGTCTAGGAAGGATCCAGGAATAAAACATCGAATTACCTGGAAAAGGTGTTGTGTTCCTTCTGACGCTACATGATCCTTGTTCTAGTTTTTTGTCGGCTCGCACTGACCAGAACTGTGGGAATGGGACCAAGGTCGGCGTGTGGGAAACTGCGCTGGAATTGGGAGGCTGTTCTGTACCGTCGGCGTGTGCACTTCCATTTTGGGGAGAGGTACAGCACCTGGCCATGACTCTTCGTTTCTCTTGGCAATGAGTCTCACTGTCTTTGTTCTGTGTGTTCGCCGCCTGTGGCTGCAGCTCCCAAAAATTGAGAGTGTTGCCAATGTGGGATGTGACAAGGTATTCTTGTGTCCTTGGTGCATCAGCAGGCGATGCAAGTGATATGCAATCTCCACTGACACCACTGAAGTCAAACACGGCCGAGCCGAGCACAGTATGATGCTAGTGATGGGCTGTTCTGCCTGGCAAATGTACCTGAGTGAAGCAAGCAAGTAGCTATCAAATGAATCCAGTCCAATTTAAGAAGACTAGCCTCCGATTTGATCATGAATCATATCGAATCATCACACATATAATCATATGATATCATGTGTGTGTGTCTCAAAAAACAAGGGGTCCCAAACCAATGGAGAGTCTTCCGGCAAAGTTTCCAAGTCTTTGTAGGTAATTTCTGAACATCTTCAGGTTCCTTGCAGAAAGAGAGTTCACAGCTACAAGTCCGGCTGATGGTCGTCCAAATTCAAAGAACTGCTTCTTGGAGGTGGCTGTCCTCAACTCATCTATATACCAAGCTCAGCTGGATGTTGCCCTGGCGCCTGCCTCCCCTGCCTCGTCTGCCTCGCCCCTGCTTGCGGATCAAGTGGCACCAAGGCTCCAGTAGCTCCATCCATGGTGCAAAGCCTTGAGATCCAAGGCTCCATCTGGAAAGCAACGGGAAAACGAACAAAAACATCGACCAAACCAGCCATTTAGACAAAACCCTTGCGACCAGGGCCACAACATGCCCTGTCGAGTGGCGACCAGGAAGTGCCTCAGGAGCAGCTCGAGCAAGTCAGAGTCTAGATGGCACAATTCCCAAGTTTGGATGTTTCTAAGGGCCCCCATCCAAAAAGCATTTCGGGGTCTGTGCCATCTACTCTGAAACCTCTGTAGAAGTTGTTAGAAGGTTGTCATCTTTTGTGGACAGAACTGAAAGGTCGACAGCATGTTCCAAAAGACTCATGATGAATCTATTGCCTGCAATGTTCAAACTTCTATGCCTTTCTAATCACAAGATGCTTTATCTAAAAACTCCAACTCTTCTTCGAACTCTGAGTTCAGAATCGCAGACTAAACCTCGCTCAGAATCTGATCAGCTCAGTCAGAACCGCTGACGCCACCGGCTGAGTGCTCCGCCCCGAGGCCGTCCAGCAGTACGCCGACACGGCGAGGTCCACGTCGCTGGGAATGGACGCGGGCCTCGGTGGGGGACGACCATCAGCACAGGCCGTGATGGTTTGCCAAAACGTTGGTGTATGCATGTGTATATATAGAGTACATACATGCGCACACACTTGGTCTAAGTATGTATCATGTGTATATATATATAACTATATATATGTGTGTTAACTATTTGCAAAATTTCTCAGCTGTCCGCTATCCTGTTCTGTAAGTCTTTCGTGATGCCAAATGCGAATTGACTCTTGACCCATCACATCGCAGCTTACACACCAACTTTTTCTGCAAGGAATCTCAGAGGAAGGAGGGTTGTCTTGCAACGCTGATGCGGATGCCCTGGATACATTGAATAGCTTCACTCGTTGAGTTGTTGAACGTTGTTTCCTTGCCAGATCACCAAATGGCTTCTCTCTGGGCGGCATCACGGACTAGGGATGCACGAGTGAAATTGTCGGCAAGAACGAGAAGCTTAGAGCTTCCATGTTTTGTGCAATGTTGCCCCAAACAGACATCTTAATCTTACTAAGTCAAACAAAACATCAACGACAAAAGTTGTGCAAGTTGCTGCAAAGCCTCTCACGTCTCATCCACACATTGTGTAGTAAACTAAACGTGTGTTTGTCTGTCAAAAGCGTGTGGTGTTTTCAACAAGTGTCAGTTTAAACATTAAAAAAAACATAGCACTGCTTACGCACACTGCAATGTCACCATGAGCTTTCGCAAGCTTACACAACTCACAGCTTGACCTACGCACAGGGTTCTGATGAGCAGGCCATAACGAGCAATTTTGGATCGTCACACGACACGTGTTCTTCTTGTTTTCAGCTCACCACGGCACAAGAAAGACCCAGTCGACCGTTTTCGACCGACCGACACTTCGACATGGCAGTTTTTGGGAGTTGAAAGTGGAGCGTATATGGAGATGGGTCACAACCTGGAGCCCCAACACCATCTAGCTCGACCTTCCAGGCGGGTCAACCAAGTTAGTCACAGACCTGATGGAGAAAATCTCTGGCGAAGGAAAAGGGACAAACCATGACAAACCCATAGGATGGCTAGAGGAGAGGTCCACAACCATAGATTTCGTCCAATCCTGGTCCTCACATGACACGGTTGGACACTCTAAAGTCAAACCTCTCAACTTCTCCCCAAGATGTTCCAAAAGCTCGCTTCGAGGACTGAAGCCGCGCGGTCTGAAGCACTAAGATCCGATCTGAAGCTTTGAAATATAAGTTTCAAAGGACTTGGTGATGGAGATCATCCGCACAGTAGAGCTTCTCACCACCGCCAAGTGATCCTGCAAATCTATTCGTCAACGGGTGGAGTGGCAGGGAGGGGTACCAGTTCTAGGCAACATCCACATGTTCTTTCGTTCAAAGAGTCGCAAGACATGAGAAGCCTTTCAGAAAGCCTTTCATCAATGGATTAATGCTTTTCACCTCTTTTCACCTCTTTTCACCTCCACCCCAATGCAATGGGTGTCCATGTCCGGCATGAACATCGTTAAACCCTTTTGAAGCCAAAACGCTTTCGCTTGTCTTCGTCTCACCTGGTGGGAACCTGTCCCACCTTGTGGCCAGGGTAGACTGAGACCTTGTCAAAGCGCAAGGGCAGCTGCAACTCGCAACCTCAGGCGTTCGCTTGGCTTTGGGCGTCTACTGCGGTAGGTCACAAGTCGCAAGTACAGTAACACGCAACACGTGCTAAGAGACCACAAGAGACCCAGCCCTTTTGCTCGTAGAAGGTGGTAAATGATGAACATGCCAACAAACATGTTTGGTGCTTTTTGCTGCTTTTTGAGACTCGCAAGCATGCCCACAGCAAAATATGTGATGACTTTTGAGTTCCTCGGCTGCGTTTTGTGGCTGTGAAGTTTCATGATGCTTTGAGGTTCGAACCAGGCAGCAAGCGCCCAGTTTTCATCGAAAAGATTGTGAGTCTTTTCGATGTCGCCCTGAATGCCAGTAACGGGTTCAACTGGTTTGAGCCACGAACCAGCAACTCAGCTGCATTTCCTTCTTCAGCTGGTTCCAGCGGTTGTGTTTTCCCGGCCTTGATAGTGCATAGAGGCGAGAACCACAGTGGCTGAAGGCCATATCTGCCAGTTCAAGCTCTGCCAAGTCTGACAAGGTGAACCTCGGCTCGGGACGCTCAGGTCGCGCACGTCGCGCGTCGCGCTACCCCCCGCTCGCTTCAGACGCCTCAGAAAAGACGAACAGCGATGGAAAAAAGACTATGGCCCTGGCAGGAGCTTGTAAGGTGAGCAACTATACACATAGACCTGCGGATGAGCACCTCCTTCACAGAATGCCACCTGGCAGAAAACTCCGCGGCTTCATCCTTGAAGCGTTTGAATGTCCGGCCCGGCCGTCCGGCCCCTGCACTCCCCGGCACATGTTCAGTGATTCAGTGAGGTCGACGGTCGAACATCCACCAGCAAATCCGTTTCACCTGTTACTTGGCTCCCTGAAACAGCGAGATGCAAACTTGCCAGAAAGGCCAAGCCCTTCTCGGCATTTGCACACATTTTGGTAATGCCATAGGTAGGAGTTGGGAATGATGACCTCGAGGATGCGGCACATAGGAGCGTTCGGACGCTACGAACGGGGCTCCTGCTAGGAACAAGAAGCTACTAGGAACAAGGGCATCGCTACTAGTCTCTCTGAAAAAACAATCTGTTCCGCATCAAGAGAGAGGTTCCCACGTGGAGTTGGACTCCATGTCCCAGAAGTGCACCTCAGTGCGGATGAACCATGTTGACGGATCAAACCTCCTAACATGCATGGTCAAACATTCCGATATGTATTGTTTAAGCTCATCAAACAGTCAACATAACTGTGTCTGTTTCTTCGCAGGCCACAGAAGCTCCCTTCCTCTTGAAGACCCCTTTGGTCATGGAAGAACCAAAGAATGTCCGGCGGAGGGAAAGAGGTCGACCAAAGCCATTTCTTGAGCGGTTCCGAAGGTCTCCCGTTCTTTCACCCACATGTCCGATATTTTGTAACACGGCCGTTTCCGGGAACCCTGGCGCTGTTGGCTGCCGCATAGCACACGGTCCTGCCAGTCATGGCGAACACCGGTTCGTCCCCGTCCTTCCGTTCGCCGCGAGGAAACTCCTCGACGATCCTCTCGTGGGGCATCTTCCAACTTGAAACCCTGTCGAAGAATCCCCCAAGTGTTGAGACTGTTGAGAATCCCCAGGACCCTGTGGAAGAATCCCCTCTGAGAATGAACTCCATCCCCAAACAGCGGACCCTTTCAACGGACCCCGAAATCGGGTCCTGGGAGCCGTGAAGTTCATCGGAGCGCTCAGCGGCACATAGGTGACGTGCAAGTCCACCTGCGTGGCCAGGGAGGTTGTGTGGTTGGGGAAGAAGAATCAGGGCCATGATGCCCTTTAAAAATCGTATCACCTTAGAAAGGAAGGAAATCCAGCAAAGCAGGGATACCCACATCCATGATCATCCATGTCCAAACAATCCAGCTTCAGCACGTCTGTCTGAGGCCATTGCAGTGCTGGCGTCAGGTGCCTTTTTCGGTGGTGCCATCCTGGCAGCCAAACGCCACAAACGAAGCATCGTCGGGCGCTTCTCCTCCGACGAAAAAAATAAAAAGCGCAGCAGTAGCTGCACCCACTGCGAGCGCGTCTGAGGGAGTCCTCTGACGCTGGCGTCTGGCGCAGCAGCGCTTCCGCTATCCACCTGGAGAATTGAGCGGAACGAGTCCAAGGGGGGTCGAAGCAAGATCCATGAGTAGTATAGGATGATCCATCTGTGACACCTTGAATGTTTTGGTGCAAGATGGAATGAACGAACAAAGTCAACTGCCCTGCCTTGGAAACTTGTCATGGACACAAGAGCTGCCAGGTTTGGAGCCAAAAATGTGATCAAGTCAGATTAATTGGGTCTGATGTCGGCTAGTCAGTAGAAAAATATACCATATTTATATATATATATATGTGTGTGTGTTATAAAGACTACATTTTGCTACATTGAAGTAAAGGAAGTGGATTTTGGAGTCACCTACTATATATAGACAATTCAAAAAAAAGTAGTGTTCGACTCCCAAGATCTCCTAGGTATTTATGTGTTTCATATAAAGGATACCAGCATCACTCCGCCCAGCTAGAAAAGGGACCTTTTTGCCTCAACTGCGCAGGTCCCACAGGTCCCGAGTCTCTCATTGCTTCTCAACAGCCCAGCCTCAGAGACTCACTTCTGCAGCTCGCACGACTCGCGAACCGAACCTTCAGCGGGGCCCGGAACCGAACGGACCAGCGGCGCGGAAGACGCGCAGCTGACCAAACCCGTCAGGGCGGGAGGTGACGCGCCTCCTCCGCTGTCCAAGCGGCTGGGGATCAATTGAATCCGCTCCTTGGGAGTTAACCACCACAATTCATCCTCACGGCTGAGGCCGGCAACGCGGAGGCCGGCCGAAACGCCGAGCTCAGCGGTGAAGTATTTACTACGCCGGGACCGGTCGCAAGAAGAGGCTGGCGCATTCAAGAACCCAGAAGAGAGATGATGATGTGGAGGGTGATTCTTTTGGGCACCAAAGAGGGGCAGAAAACCATCGATGAACCGCAGGCTGCGACTTCCGGACATCGCCGTGAGGGGTGCGACTGCGACATGTCCTCGCGGAAGTTGAAGAGGTTCTTGCATTGCCTCGTTCGGGTTTCAACCAGCTTGGGGACCATGGTCTTTATTTCTTGCCGGGTCCCAAACCGAGGGACCGACCGGTTGACCGGTGGTCAAATGAACAGAAGCAACATACCGAGGAGGTGAACCCAGGAGGGTGAGTTTCTGGGCCTCCGGGTTCTGACTCGCCAGCCAGTGGCGCCTTTCACTTAAGTGACCGTCGTGGTCAGTAGCTCTGAACGATCGCCGGTTCAGATTCCATCGAGGTGCGGAGAAGGTCGTGGAAATGCGGGTCATTTCAAGTTCAGAATCCGGAGCTTTCAACCGGTCGCCAGTGAGAAACCGATCCCATCATTTGGGGTGTCCATGGGACTCCAAATGAAGGGCGTGTACAAGCGGGGAATGCGGGGGAACTGAGCTGAAAGGAATCTGTGCGTCTTCTGAATGACCCTAGCAGAACCTTCTGTGACACCCCAAAGGCTTCATGCGGAAATGGTTGAAGCTGCCCCAAAGCTGGAGGCTATATGCACATGGAAACTTGAAAATACCACAAAGTGTTCCAAAAGCACAACCACGAGAACTACTCGAAACATCTCGAAACCTATTCTTATATATAAGTATTTACACTTGTTGTACCCTTGTCGAGTGTGCGGGCCACCATGACTAAGTGCGATAAAGAGACTCTTTCTCTTTCTTGTCTGCCGAACGCAGCCTTAGGATTGGCTTGCTCTCCAATCTCCGCACTTACACAGTGCTCACAGCTCCTAGTGAAACCAAGCAACTCCGCGAAGAAGGGATGAAGCAAAACGTGCAGAGGCCTGGCTGGATCGGCATCCAACGTCCACCGCCCACTTCTGCCCGTCTCCCCAAATGAACCGCCCACTTCTGCCGGATCCAAGTGCGTCAGCCGGACGGTGTGCGGGCACCCTGCAACGGTGGCTGCACCGGCAACACGATCCGACACAGTTCGCTTCGCTGCTTCGCTTCGTCCCGCGGCGGCGCGGCGGGACGAAGCGACCGTGCCGCGCACTGCTGGGGCTCGGGCCGGGTCATACGTCAGCATGTGGCCAATCTGCGGGGAGCTGAAGTGTCGCGTGGTAAAAAAAATCAGCACCACGCGACTCACATGTCCCGAACATCAACCCACGTGAAAAGTGAAAAAGATGACTTCACGACATGACTTCAGTGGTATGTTTTCTGGCCTGGCCACATGACTTGCAGGCACCACCATAGAAAATAAAACACAAAATAAAAGGAAAAATTGACAAACATCAACAAACAAGTGCATTATAAATGTGTTTAAATGTCTTTATGATATGTCTTGTCCTTTCCTCTTTTTCGCCTCTTCCATTCTTTCTCTCCGCGTCGTCTGGGTTCTCCCACCAGTTCACACGCGTGCGCCGGCGCCCATCCTCTCAGGACCTCCGGTGGCGCGACCGGGCTAACGGTCAACCGAACGACCGGAGTGCTTTCGGCCGGTGGCTGGAGGCGGGTGAAAAAATGCAAGTCTTGCTTCATGATGTGGTGCATTGATGCTTGATTTCCTTGGAGCCCTCTGCTTTTCCCTTGCAAGGCTTGAGGGTGAGGAAGTGTCTGTTGTGTGGCTGCTTTCCTCTTCCAGAGGGCAGAGCAAAGAGGGCAGTGCTTTCATATCTTTCATGGTGTTTTGTTCGCAGCCTGGTTCCTATGTCCGACAAGTGGCCTGGGATTCCTTGCCGGTACTGGCAATAATGGGAAAGACCCACGTGCTTCGAGTTTGCCACTCGGCTTTTGCTTGTTGGGGCTCGGAGGACCCCCCTTTTGATGCAGTGGCTATCGCAGCTTCTTTTCATTTTGTATAGTGGTTCTTTCACGCATAAAAGCTGGGAATAGCCACAGCTTCTGTCGAAGCACCACAGCGGAAATGCGGAAAAGGTGGCTGTTTCTGAGTCTTGGACTTTCTCCCATGAGTGAGAGGCTATCCTGGCAGTCTTGGATGCACATCAACATTAGAGAGAGGGAGAAAATGGAAACAAACGAAAAAGAAACAAAGCATCCAAAGCATGTGCATGAAAATGATTCGACTAGACTAGATATGATTGTAATATATTGTAATGATTATCATATACTTTCCAAAAAAACAATCTTCTCCGAAGCAACATCCCACGGGTTCGTTTCTCACACTCGCATACAGCCTGACTCATATAACTTCACGTCTGCTGAAAACGGGCGCGTTTTCACTCGTGACAAGGTCCCCACGAGGGCGTGAACTCGTAGTCGGGATAGTTCGGGTTCATGGCACGGAGCTGCTGCGGCGTCGGGGTGCCCAGGACTTTAATGATTTGCACCAACTGGTCAATGCCATCCTGACCGGTTGGAACGAAGGGTGGCTTTCTTGCCGTGAGTTCATGAAACATCGTCTCTCATGGTTCATTGTTCGTCTTTGTTCGTGACAAAATCGAAGGAACAAATCCCCACACATCAAGCGAGAAAAACACAATCGTGTTCATGTGGATGAGTCTAGTGGATCGATCGGCCGTTCTCCTTGCCCGTAAACAAGGGTTGCCCCAAGATCAGCTCTGCAAAGACCTGGTTCGGGCGCGAGCGCCGTTCGGGTCCAGGACGGACCATGGGTCGGAGGTCGCGTGACGACGACGAATGACGGAAGCGCAGAGTCAAGAAGTATTGTCCGATCCGGTACGGTTTTTGGAAATGGTACTGCGGTATAGAAGAAGTATAGAAATGGTACTCCTCGATCATTTTCTCTGCGTTCTTCATGAATGACAATGACGATAGATGAGTCGATCCTTTCTTGTCTGATTCCTTCGGCACATCGCATGAGTCGATTCCACGTGGGGCACCGACACATCCAGCAGACCACAAATCCACACCAGTGGTGTAGCTGGTGGCCTGTCGATCACTCTCTCAGCCGCGTCTCGCGTCTCGGGTTTGGTCTCTCTCGACCGCGCCAGACCGAACATGCCAGTCTCTAAGGCCCGAAAGTCCCAAAAGTCGAAATGATGAAGCGGTTTTACATGTTTTGAAGGTGTCTCAAAACCCATGGGGTCTCACTTCCGGTCCGCCCCAAACAATCATGGGGGAAGCCCGCTTCCAAAATCCACGTACTGATCGGGGGTTTCTCTGAGCTCCCTGGCACCCAGGATGAGCTCTGGTGCTCGGTAGTATCTGGACACCATGTAGGACCGCTGCCTGGGTCGCAACCCGTTGGGGAACACGGCCGAGCGTAGCGGGGGGGAACAACAGAAGCCGATCTGCGTGGGGAACGCAGAAGCCGAAGGTGAAGTGACACATCAGACTTGGAAGGCTGATGAGATCTGATTTCGTGGTCCCGGAGATCTGATTTTGTTTGGATATGAGAAGAAGGCTCATGTTTCAAGGTTTCAACATGAGAAGGCCTCGCCTCACCAAAAGGGTAGTGATGGTTGATCTATGTTGATCTTCAGCTACAGCACACAATTCTCTCTGAGATCGGTGCTGTTCCCCGAAGATCATCCGCTTGGCAGTGCCAAAATCGCAGATCTTCAGCGTGTGGCTCTTCCCATCCAGCAGCAAATTCTGCCTCAGCGGAGACCTTTCACCTGCGGAGTCGAGCCGGCGAAGGAATCGACCTCTTTTCCACCCCGGAGCCTCGATTTCGGACATCGGTTGTAGATTCCTTCATCAGGCTCAACTCTCATGAAACCATGTGGCCAACTAAGGCTCCAACGGCTTCAGATCACAATGCACGATGCCCCGACCATGGATGAAGGCGAGACCTCTGCATCTAAGATGCTCGTTCGCGGCTCGCAAAAAAGTAATCCCCAGGTACAAGTACAAGCCGAGTGGAAAAGCATGTCCCAAGATAATATGTTGAAGACCTACGGCATGTCGATATTTGGCGTGGAAGCTGGAAGAATACCAATCTCCGCGTCTGAGGCGTATGTCCCTCAAAACAACTCTTTGCATGACCATGTGCAACCTTTTCAGCCCCTAAATGACAAGGAAATGAATGGCACGGCGCAACCACCACCACCACCACAGCCAGCCAGCCAGCCAGCCAGCCACAAGCTGCCCCTGTGTTGACAGGGTTCTAGTTTAGATGAATCCGATCCACATCAAAGGAGGACATCATGACAAAGCTGAATCAAATCAATGGGTTCCTTTTGCAAAGGTCCCAAAGATTCGGGTTTCTATCCGTTTGAAACAGCACGTACTAAGTATTCATATCACCTTTGTGTTCCGGAACTTGACATGACAGAAATTGAAACAAACTGTGCCTCGCATGAGCTGGAATTGGTACAACTTGATGTAGTAGGGCTCCTTAGATCGGTCCGAACTGCGGCAGTGGACAACGCTTTTGAGATGTGGACAACGATACCAGTATGGCTTGTTGGTTTCCAGCCAAGGCAGCAGCAATCTTCTTGCCATCCAGCTGACTGTAGTGTTTAATCACCTCAAACACTCCAGGAACGGCAGTCGTGAACATTCCTATTTGCCAGGCCGACATTCCAAGGTTGTGCTATATATATATAATATAATCAAAGAATCTCGTGAATTGGGCGAAGCCCACATGAAAGACCACCATGTACCCCCTTTGTCCATCTCGCTTGTTTTCCTTTCCACATCCACCAGCGCGGCAGTCAGGACCCTGTTTCAGCTTTTCGTTTCTGCTGAAGACGAACCGTGAGTTTCTCACCATCTGCCGCTGTTTGATGTTGTTTGAATGATGGCGGACAGTGCTCAGGCCAGCTCCCGATGCAGGGTGTCAGAGAGAAACTCCAGGACTAAGTTCAGCCTGCAAGCAAGGCGCCATAAATCCAATTAGGCATGGCCAGAACTAGAAGTACCCCAAACAGACCATAACCTGCGGTTTGGTGGGGTGTTCAGTCTAAATGGGGTGGGTCGAAACAAACACTAGTAGCGATGGCCTCCAACCTACTAGCTTCTTGATCTTCTTGTTACGTTCGTATCTTCTTGCTCCGTTCGTAGCGATGTCCTTTGTTACTAGTAGATTCTTGTTCCTAGTAGTAAGGCACTTGTTACTAGTAGCGATGCACTATCGGTGTGATACTGGCAGCTTCAACAAGAGGCGAAACGGTCGCTAGCCGAAGGGGAAGTAAACAAAGGTGGTGACAGTCACGAAGCAAGCTCTCGAGCGCTCACGGTTTTCGAAGCACCTCACGTGCTCTCAGGCGGTCAGGTCGTCGACACCTCTATGGCGTCACAGTCGAACGATAGCGCGTGCTCTTCAAAAGAGCAAAGGCAAAAGGGCACCCTTCAAATGGCAGCGGCATGCGACAAAGGCGAATGAGTGGTGGTGAGGTCATGACTCAAATGGCAAAACCAAACAGAATCACATGGGCGAAAGGTTTTCGCCGAAGTGGCTTGCCGCCGCTGGAAGGCGTGCCAAGACTCATCTTCGATGAGTTCAGGCTCAGGCTCTTGACTCTCAGGATTCAGGCGGCGCTTCTTCTTGGCCGCTACGAAGCCCGGGTCATACTTCACGTTCCATAGTTGGCCCTTCATCATGAAGGTCTTCATCAGGTCAGCAGCACTGGCCTTAGTCAGGCCGTCAGCCAGTTGGGCGTCGGACGACACCCAGAGCAGGCGGGCGTTCGCCTTGGTCATGTTCTCCCGGATGGAGAGGAGTTCAAGCGCGCTGTACTTCTCCTTCATCGAGAAAGCAGCGCTAGCGCCATCGCCCTGGTGGTAGGCGTCGTAGGCACTTTTGGCATCTATGACCACGGCAGCTTCGACCTTGGCAATGGTGCGCTCAGGTCGCGTCAAGTCCATGGAGTGGCCAAGTAGCTCTGCCCAAAGTGCTCGGCAGAACATCAACTCTTGTTCTCCTTCACCCATGGCCTGGAGTTCCGCCGCAAGTGAGCTGCGTGCTGTCCTGTGGAGTTTTCCACTTCTCCAAGCCACCATGTTGACGGGAGAGCGGATGCCGTCCAGGATCTGCTTGTGGCATAAGCCCACCACATATCCTCCAGTTGAGGCCAGGTCCGGACGGTTCGCGACTGCTGCATCAGTCCAGGCGATCATCACCAAATCTTCATCTTTCACAGCTTCCAGCTGTTGAACTCTCACAGACAGGTGCTTCTGGGCACACACCTCCCTGACCAGTTTGTTGATCTGGTGGAGGATCTCCTTGGAGTGCTTGCTGCAAGGAAGCTGTGACTGAAGGAGGGACAGTCGTGAGGCATGTTGTGGTGCCGTCGACTCACTCTCCACTGTATTGAGCCCAGCACGGCTCGAGCTTGAGAAAGCTCTTGAGGCGTCACCTCGGAGGAGTGCTTGTCCACATCGATCTGCTTGATCTGAGCTGCATACTGGGAGTGGTCAAAGTTGAAGCTGTAGTTAGCCTGCTGGTGTACTTCAATGCCGCAGTGCAGGTAGGGATCTGACTCCCAAGGACTCCAGCTCAGTGCGCCATGGAACTTGGTCAAGGTGTCATACCACAGCTCGCTGTTTTCGTTGCCAGTCACGATAAAATCGTCAACGTGACTTGCTATGGCACCTTGGACATTGCCATCTTTGTCCTTGCATACCCAAATGCAGGGTTCACAGGTGAGGCGCTGCATACCACATGTCTGGGTTGCAATCTTCTCCACATCCCAGTACCACTCTCTTGGGGCATTGACTAGCCCATAAGCTGCCCGGAGTAGGCGAACTGCTTCTTGAGGACCACATTGCATCTTCTCGCCCAGCTCTTGCACTGGTTGTGCAAACACGCTCCGAGATCGTTGACTTTCAGAGCCCTGGAGGAAGGCCGCACGAGCGTCAGCCTTGAGGGTCCGCCACCGGCGATGGCATGCCAAGTTGAGCAGGAGCATCTTGCCACGTCGTGACAGTGTTGGTGCCGCTTTGTCAAGGTACTCTTGGTCAGGGTCAGAGAAACCCAAAATGACGATTCGGGCTTTCGCCTTGACTTTGTTGGGCTGGTTCGGGTCGTCCACAGCCTTGAAAACCAAGACCCATCTCATCTTCATGAGTCTTGACTTCGGCACGTCGGCTCCAGCGCGTTCACACACGCGATTGGCCACCCAGGAATTCACCTCCAAATCCTTTGCCTCTTTCATGGCTTGCCTCTGAACTGAATTCAGTTTATGCCAGGCAACTTCACATCCCTTCTTCACTTCTTTGGAGGTGTATTTCTTGGGATCTTTCAAGATGCTTCGCCATTCTTCTTCATTGGCCGGGGCATCGATCGTCACGGCCAGGACAAAGTCATTGGCAGGCTGTGAGCACCATCCCACCAGGTCTGGATTCTTGTACTTCTTGGGGAATTTGGCATGGTGAGGACGATCATCTTGCTCATGGCGTTTTCGCTGCTGCCGAAATTCAACATCATCAGATCCTCTTGCCTCCTTCACGTCTGGTGGGACAACGGGATGTAGAGACATGTAGGTCGGATCAGAAAGCAGCCGTTCGATGTCTAGGTCATCAGAGTCATCAGGGTGCATTCCTTCTTTCAAAGTGGGATCCATGTGCACCTCATCAGGGAGGAGCTCTTCAGAGGATGAGCTCATTGCATCATCTTGTACTTCATCTTCTTCTTGTTGCTTCTGGCGTTTTCTCTCAAGCGCTGATGGGCGAAAGGTTTGTCTTCTCTTGGCTTCGAATCTTTCGGCCTTGGAGGAGGTGAGATCCTCAAAAGCGCCCTTGGTGAGAGAGTTGCTCATCATGGAGAAGGTCCAAGGCATGGCCATTGTCCCTGAGGCGTTTGCTATCAGAAGCTCTCGTTCACTGCCATGTCGAACTTGATCACAGTGGGCCTTGAGAAGTCGGCCGCAGCTCACTAGCCACACCACGCTTGAAGGAGTGCGTGCTGTTCCGGTGTCATCAACCCGGGTTTCACAGGCTAGAACTCGAGCAGGTCCATACCATCGAGCAATGCGCATTCGAGGCACATCCACATCTTCATTGGCCGGAGCTCGTCGAGGGACCTTGTATCTCTGGTAGAACACGATGTCTCCAGGGATGAACTGCTTTGCCGGTTTGCTCCGGCTGTTCCTGGCTCGGGAGATCCGAGCTTCAGCAGACAACTTGTTGTGGAGGTGCTCAGCCTCAATGCGAAGTCTCAAGTTCTCGGCCATCTCGTGACCAGGGATGCCTTCTGAGCTGGCTGCCGCGACGTTGATGGTCACATTTTCGGACCTGCCGAAGGCCCATTGTGCCGGCGCATATCCACCAACTCTGGTCACATGGTTGTGGGCTTGAGTCATCGCGAAGGCAGCTCTCTTGGGCTCGATGGGTTCATTGCGCAAGAACTTTTCCATCTTCCATCTCAACTCACCGATGGCCTTCTCAACAGCTCCTGTGGCTTGATGATGTTCAGCAGGAACGTGGATCATGTCTATTCCCCTCTCGCTGCACCACATGGCCAAGTCAGTGCCACGAAAGGCACCTTCAGCATCGCACCTCAAGCGAGAGGGATAGCCAAAGATCTGGCTCCAGCTTTCTTCCAGGGTGGTGATTACCTCTGCAGTGGTGATGTTCTCGGACTCTTCAGCAGGATGAACCTTCACTTCTTTCACCACTGCAAAAGAACTAGCTTCATCCAACATCAAAAGAAAATGATGAGCTTGCCCTCGACGCCGAAAGAAAAATGCATCCATTTGCAGCGTCTTCCAAATCACATCTTCTCTCTCCAAGGATACCTTGACGGTCGGAGAGGCAGTTTTGCTTTCATGGCATTCAGGGCAGGCAAGTTGGAGTGCAGCCGCTTTCAACTCTTCAGAGGCTCCTCGAGCTCGGAGAAGCTTCAACAAAGCTCTGTTGTTGGGGTGGCCGCACAGTCGATGAAGTTTCAACACCGATTCCATGAGATGCTGAAGTTCTTGAGGTGTGAGCTTTTCCAAAACAGAAGGGTCAGGTTCAACTTCTTGGATGCCTCCGATGAGCTCGGAGGTCTGCAGCATTCCTCGGGCGGCTACCCGACACAGCTGTGGGGTGTAGTAGGCAGAGTTTCTGGCATTGGCGCCAAGGCATGGCACATGGTGGTGACTTCCATCACATTGCCGAGCAAGACCTTTTAGGGCGTGTTCTCGAGTCACCATGAAGCGCCAGGGTTTCTTCACTGGCCCGTCCGGTGAGGAGAGACCAAACATGCAGCCATCAGCCAGGATCTCATAGGCCTTGCCAGCCGTCTGAAGTGCATGCCAGAACTCTTGCACTTCTGGTAGTTTCCAGGCTTTGTTGAACCTGGGCCATTCCCACACGATTTCACCATCCATTCGTAGGTGTTCATGTAGTACACGAAGTCCACCTCGAAGCACCTTTCTCGCATGTCTTTTCCGAAAGACACTTTTCTCTCTTCCTTCAGGCGTCCTTTCGTTCAAGGCTTGAACAGCTGACGTTGGACCACAAGGAAAGCTGGCCCAAATCCAACGAGGACGATGAGCCTTGAGAAGTTCGAGGGCCTTTTCGATGCCTTCTTCTTTGGTGAGGTCACAGTTGTTGTGAAGTCCGATGCGACCTCCACGTCCTCCAGCTTTCAAAACTTCTTCTGTAAGTTGACTTTGAGGACCGCAGCAAAGTTCCATCACGTCCCATTGCTGCAAAGATGAGATGCCTCCATGAGCCTTGAAGATCATATCGCCTTCTTCAACCAGCTCATTCATACTCTCCACCACCATCGCAAACTCCTTCTTCGGGAAGGGAGTCATAGTGCGATCTTCTCCGCCAGGTTCTCCATCATGTCGTCCCTCAGGAAGTGAATCTTCAAATGCTTCCTGTTCCTTAGCGCCGGAGGCATAGTCAAACTTGAACAAGTTCGGAGGGGCCTTGACATTCGGTGGAGCTTGGGCATTCTTGAACATCCGTTCATTCTTGGGAACCTGGTCATTCGAATTCATGAAGGTGCCACCACGAAGAGCCAAGTCACCCTCGGAGTTCTCAGACATGTAGGGCTCTCCTGCACCTTCTCCTCCATCTACACCGAGCGAGCTTCTCCGCCCGGACTCAGGACCGACCAGGAGCGGTTTGAGCGATCCTCGTACTCTGCTTCTTCGGGCGCTGTTTCTGATCGCCGGGATTTGCTCCCAGGAACCGTGCCAAGGGTCTCCACGTCGGTCGGACTTGCCACCTCGGTCGGACTCGGCTGAGTCTGGTTGGCGGGACTCTGAGGGCTCGAAGTGGCATTGGTGGTCGGCGTGAGGTTGCCATACCCTGCTGCGGCTTTGCGAGCTCGGATGCTGTCGAGCTTGGTCAGGAGGGAGCGTTCGGCACCTTCCAAGCCTATGGCTTGACTCTTCATCAGCGGGTTGTACGGTGCTTTCTCTCCCAATTCCTCGACTTGCTTCTTGGTGTCTTGAGGAATCGGCCCTGCTTGTCGGTGCAATCCTGTTGCCCCGAACGCCGGGGTGTAGCTCAAGCGTAGTTGACACCGTTGGCATCCGACCCAGCTGGCATGTCCATTGCTCCCTGTCACCGAGCCTTTGTAGGCTGGTGCCGGCTCGTGTTGGCCGTTGCACGGCGGGCCAAGGGTGCGAGGGTCTCTGGGGTCGCTCAGGACCGTACGAGAAGTGTCGTACTTCTCGGTGAAGGTCTCTTTGGTCTTCGGACCCTTCTTCTCCTTTGGCGTGGAGCTCTGAGCCGAGCTCTTGGCCTTGGCCGGAGCTGCTTGGGACATGGCTTCCAAAGACAGCAGCAGTGGCGGCTAACAGCGTCAATGCCCTCCAGGACATCGAGGTCGAATCTTGAGCCTCAAAGTCGGCGAGATTCGCATCTTCAGGTGCTCTTGCCAAATCAGGAGGAGGTGGATGAAAACGAACTGCAAAACACTGACTCAAAAAATCTTCAGCTTCATGGCCGTGCAAACTCTGGTAAAAGTGCAACTCAGACTCACTCAAAAAGATGGAAACATCAGAAGTCGTGGACATGGGCATGGATGTGGTTGAAGTGGCATGTACATCACAATCTTCGAAAACATGACCTTCTCGAACCATGAAACACGACAACATCGACAGCGGCGAGGGCGAGTATTTCACAGAGGGTGAAGGCGCTGCAGTGTCACTTGCAAAAAGAATCTGGGTGCCCTCGCTGAGCCAATCATGACTTAGGTCCATCAGTAGATGGCCGGATGAGCTCTTTCGCAAAGGCACCAAAAGCGATGCATTGATGGCCGTGAGAACCATTGCACTTCGGCCAGTGTCAATCAAAGCACCGAGCTTTGCCAGAGTTCTGATCCCGACAAGCACGGGGACACCTTGTGCCTCCAAAGTAAAAATGCCGAGGGACAGCTTCTTATCTCCAAGGCGCTGGGGCAGCAAGATCATGCTCTCAGACTTTTGAGTCATACCATTTCCAAATTTGAACAGCTTGTTCGGGACATTGAGCACCTGGAAACCATCATGGTCCATTCCAGCTGCGTGCCTCTTGTACATGATCCATTCTAACGCCGCCAGACCAGCGACAGTCTCAGTGGCCCCGGTGTCCAGGACTCCGAAGCCTTCAGTCTCAGGATGGCTGATCTCATCGGCCGCCATGATCTCCAGTGGCCGCTCAGGATGAGAAAGAGGATGGCACACGAAGGTCTCCATGAGCTCTTCTTCTTCAGCCACCATGAACACTTTTCCTCCCTTGCCACCAGGACGAGATCGTCGGGGACAAGAGCGATAGTCATGGTCTTTTGCTCCACAAATGAAGCATCCCTGATAGCCTGGTGAACCAGGCTTTCCACCGCCTTGCACTGCCATCACCGAAGGGGATGATGAGGAGGTTGAAGAGGATGCAAAGCGAGTTCCAAAGCCTTTACCTTTGCCACCTTTCTTGCCAAACATAGATTTTCCTTTGAACTTGCCCTTGGGGAAGAAGCCACGGGAGGCATTCTTTGCCGCAGATGCCCTGCGACTTTCTTGAAAGGAGCGCATCTTCTCCTCATAGGCTGCAAAGGCTTCCACGATGGGCTTGGATTCTTCAGGCGTGCTCCAAAGCACATCATTCCAAACATCAGCCTCAGACCATGACCAAAACGTGCCATGGGAGTCACAGTGGTAGTACTCGCCGTCGGCCTCAAGGTTCCACCACAGGTATGCTCCAGGATTCGAGGGGTCAGCTCCCCAGAACCCATCATCACTCATGAACGTCTCTTCAACTGCCGGCGGGGGTGCCGAAGGAGTCTCCCAGGAAGTGGTCTGAAAGACTTGGTCTTGTGGTAGTCCTCCCAGCCAGTGGATGTCACCTTCCAGGAGGTCTTCATCATCACACTCAGAGGTGAGCAGCAAGCCCCACTCACCTTGGTGTTCCACCCAGAACGAAGGGCGATGCTTGGATTTACCAGACCCTTTTGGTCTTCCTTCTCTCTCCTTTTCCACAAGACGAAGTTCGTCCTCAGCTCCTCGCAAGCCCTTCTCGATGTCATCGGCTTTGAGGGAGTTTCCAATGCTGGAGAGAACGTTGAGGCGTTGAGCAGCATTCAAAGATGACTTCCGGAGCATGATCCAGCCTAGCAGCTCACTAGGCAGGACCTCAGGCAAACCAGTGTCTAGGTCATCCCAAAAGTTGTCGTCCTGTTCATCTTCACTGTCGGAAGGATCAGAGCGAGATCCACGAGAGGGAGAGCGAAGGTCATCTCCTTTGCCTTTCGACTTGCCACCCTTGGAGGAAGATGGCCTGGCAGGTGAGCGAGGTTCAGCTTCTTCTTCATCAGCACGTTGTGCTTCTTCTTCTTCTGTTCCTTCTTCGGCTGCAGGCTCAGGACTGGAGCGGGGTTTCGAGGAAGTTTGCGACGGAGCTCCACCAGGCTTGAACTCCACCGCATCTCCTCGAGCACGGCGAAGTGCTCTCTGCAGCTTTCTATACTGCTCTCTCACCTGCGCACACCAGGTCGCCATTGAAGTTCCTGGTACTCGTCGAAGGCGAAGAAGTAGTGCTTCTGCTTGAGATCCCGCATCCGGGATTGGAACGCGGGCGAGGCGCTCCTCAAGGAACGTGATCAGGTAGCGGGCTCCATTGGGTTGTGTCAATGCCTTGTAGTCGATCTCTTGGGTGACAACCCATGCCCTGCCCGACAGTTGGGACACTAGGTCGGGTCCCAGCTGCGCCCGCCTGCGACGACGGGTCTTCTCGAAAGCCAGCCGGACTTTCCTCACGTAGTCCGGCCATGTAGCAAAGTCTCCATCCCAATGGCACCTCAAAGAGGTGTCCTTTTCCTTCTCGGTCATGGCCTCCTGGCCCAAGAAATACTCAGAAGCGAGGAAGGAAAACAGGATGAAGGGAGAGTCAACTCAAAAGCAAAATGCTCGCGAGCCCAAACCAGATTGCCGAGGGAATCCTCAATGACTCGTGCACTGAAACAAGCCCCTTTCAGCAACCAAAAAGAAAGAAGTACCAGCCACCGTTGCCCTGGATCTCAAAACTCGTGCACCTCAGGTGGAGAACTCCGGATGGTTCCTCTCGTCCTCCACGCCAGCGCGAGCCTTGCCGGCTCCGCTACCAGTATCGGTGTGATACTGGCAGCTTCAACAAGAGGCGAAACGGTCGCTAGCCGAAGGGGAAGTAAACAAAGGTGGTGACAGTCACGAAGCAAGCTCTCGAGCGCTCACGGTTTTCGAAGCACCTCACGTGCTCTCAGGCGGTCAGGTCGTCGACACCTCTATGGCGTCACAGTCGAACGATAGCGCGTGCTCTTCAAAAGAGCAAAGGCAAAAGGGCACCCTTCAAATGGCAGCGGCATGCGACAAAGGCGAATGAGTGGTGGTGAGGTCATGACTCAAATGGCAAAACCAAACAGAATCACATGCACTTGTTTCTACTAGCTTTTCGTTACTAGAATCAAACATCTTGTTCCTAAATCAACATCTTTCAAGCGGATGATTCCAGCCGAGCCGGTGCCTGGTACCTGAGCCGGCAGTCCCCTCGTCGCTCAGAAAGGCACCATGCCTCAGTCGCGCGTCTCTGAGATCCTGCGTCTCCTGATTCACCCCACTGCTTCACCAGGTATTCTCGGGTGGATCGAACACCAGTGGACCACTTCCCGGGAGGTCAATCAATTTTGATTGGTTCTGTGGGGTCCTCGCCCAGAACCATCTCCATCTCCTAACGCAGGAGATGGAACGTCTGCTCTCATCTGAGGGCGCTGCAAGCAAACAATGTTTGGATGACCGTGCAATTCCTTGAGGATTTGTACCTGTGCCACTCAGAACGTAGGGATTTCTGTTTGGACTTAGAGACTTAGAGACTCAATGAACGTCCCAAGCAACGGTCCCACCTCCCGGTCCTTCTCTTGCATTTTGATCGACTTGATGGCAACCTCGTAGCGTGTGACGTCATGGAAGAAGCAAGACTTGAGACATCTTGAGACCATGAAGTAAGACAAAGGATGGGAGATCGCAGCAAAGAAGGCCCACCTTAGAAAGAACCAGAAATAAAAAAATAACATGCCAGCACCACAGTTTCGCCAGTTTCAAGGACCTGCGCCTGACTCAGACAGGAGATGAACAAAGAAAGAGAACGACAGCTGCCGACGCGGCCGACCCAACGGCGGCCGCCCGGCCTGATACACGACCCCAAAGGATCCTTTTCCAAGAACTCTCTGGGCCGTGTATGTGCGCGTCCTCAGACAGTGGCTCCCTGTGGCTCAAAGACCAGTCCAAACAGCAATCAAAAGGCCAGTCCAAAGCATATAAAAAGCCATGCACAAAACATCGAGAAAACCGCCCAAAAGCCGCCCACTATACTCGCCGGACTCACCCTACTCACGCCCCTACACCATACCCTACACCATAGCCTCACGCCCCCCCATTACCCCATTCCGAGCCACTGCAATTCGGGAGGCTCATCCGGATCGGCCTTCCGCTTCCGACTCACGGCCGCCTTAGTGCACGAACGAGGACACTCCGCCTTATCGGCCGCCGGACTTCGTCAATGCTCCCAAGCGTGCTGCCATGGAAGGCACATGAAGCGAGGAATCGCTTGTGCGTCTCAGCTCAAAGTGGTTTTTTTGCGGGGGGGAATCGAACTTCGCGCTCGAACTTGCTGTAACATGTCCATCTTAAAGATCATGCTGATGGGCCGTTGGGGAGAGCTGAGGTGAAATGATCATGCTGATGGTTGCGACGAACCGGATTGGTCAAGAGCGGTGTGACTCCGCATTCAATGCGCGTTCTGATTTGCTGGGTTGCTAGCAGCTAGAAGCTGAATCAATCCTTGTTGCCGTGATGCTTCCTTTGGCATTGTCTGGCTGCCAACCACAACTTTGCAAAGGATACGAGATGATACGAGATCAGGCACAGGCGCACAAAATACATCAAGGCGTGCAATGTGAAAACTGGTAAATCAAACGTCGTCTTCCACTTTTTGCAAGCAATTCTTGTTCTGTTGGTCTTTGGGCATCACGGGCTTCGAAGACAGCCAGGAGATTTTGCACAACTTGGGTGTGGCTCAAAAAGTATATTCAAACCCCAGCTTGAACAGGAACATTGAGAAGCAACCAATTATATAATTATGTAAATATATTTGAGCCAGACCCTCTTTGAATGGCTCTATCAAGGCTGCCCAAAGGCAAAGTGACCAAGCGAACCCACAAGCACTTGCTTTAGCTTCAGTCGGAATGTGGTCGAGAACCACCTGCAGCGCAGTTGACCACGGCAACTTCGGAGTCTCCGTAGAGGACAGAATCCAAGGCCACATCACACATGAACATTGCAAACCTACATGCATGGGCATACCCTTAACTAATTCTCTATAGGGCCATAGGGTTAGCTTGGAATCGGTTGGAGGCCATCGCTAGGTTGGAGGCCATCAGTTGGTTGGAGACCATTGCTAGGCCATCGCTAGTAAATCGCAGTTGAACTAAGTCACGCAGACCAATCTTTTTCTCCCACCGCGCTGCTGTGATCCATGGCGACCCTTCCGGCGCGATCCACCCGGGGGAACTCATCGACTTCAGCTGCTTCAGGATCCACCTGTTTCTGGAGATTGGGGCCTTTGATGTATCAGTCTGGCACATCCTCCTCCTCTTCCTCGGATTCTTCCCCTTGCATATGCAGATCAATCTGCTGATCCTCTCAAAGGTGACACCAATTATGCAAGTCTAACTCCAACCTCAACGGCACACAGTTGCCATCAGGCTATCACTATCTTTCAATATACTGATAGTGCCATCATGCTTTCAAGAACGCACTACTCAATACTTAGAGCTCAATACGTGGGAGATAGCGGGAGACCAACACCACTCAACCTATTGATCTCTTTCACCGGATTCTTTTGTCTTTAGTTCTTCTATATATATATATATATATTAAATATACTTCGGTCACCAAATGGTGGAAGCAAAGCTACTTCGAAAGTTGAGACGAAAGCATCGCGCTACGCGGTTTGGTCCTTGACGGCTTCTGGAATCTGGTCCAAGGTCAGAAGAAGCTTGGTCTCCACTTCGCCCGGATATGCGAACCTCTGCAGTGGTGGGCGATTCTTTGACTCACCACCCTTCAGTAGAATGAGGCTTCCTTCTGGAGTACTCATCGAGCCATCTGCTTTGCAAAGAATCTTCCGATTCCATTCTTGGATCGCTGAAAGGTCGATCTCTTCAGTCTGGTTTAGGAGCCCATAGGCCGCATCCCAGACATCCCAGTTCACCTCTGAAGGCATGGCCAGAATGGGGCCTGGTCCGTGCAAGGGGACTTGAAGCCTCATCGTGGTGAGAGCACGTTCATCATGGAATTTCAGCCGGCCCTCTTGATTAATCTCCACACGCAAGGAGAAGCAACGTCCCTCGGCGGCCACTGGCATCAAGTCCAAGAGAGCAAGAACGAGGTCACAGAAAGAGTCAGCCACATCACTTGATGTGACCGCATTGGCGTCTTCCTCTGAGTAGCCTTCCTCCACGAGTTCGTGCTGGAAGTTCTTGAAGTCTTGCCGAATTTGACGGCAAAACTGCTCGCGGGGAGGCTCGTTGGGCTTTGCCTTATAACCTTCCCAATACCATAGCTCATCCTTTGCGGCGTCACCAAAAGCACACAATTTCTGCGCCCATGGCAGCAGCTTTTCCCAGCGGCTTGCGACGAAGTCTCTGCAAATACCCACCGCACAACGGTCTGCACCGCCAATGCGCTCCGCCACCTCCGCGGCCTTCTCGGGCGGTGCAGAGTGCCATTCCTCGCTTTCACGTGGTCGCCGTTTCACGGTCTCGTGGGGTTCAGGAGACGACGCCCTTTTGACACCACTTGTGGTCTCCATCGGTGAACGACACTGCCGGGACAATGATGGGCCCCAACGGTGCCATACGGTACTTGAGCCGGGGCGACCAGAGCCGATCGTGGGACGCCACTGGAGTGGCCAACATGACTAGGGACGCAAAGACGAAGAATCCACGTGCCCCATCTAAGGTTCACTTGGTGTTGGGCTCACGACCGGGAACCACCCTGGATGAGCCTTACCAACCAGGCTCCTACCTGGCGAAGCCTTCACATAGAACAACCAGGTGGAGGGGTTGGAAGACTGAACTCCGAGATGCTGGCCTGAGAAGGTACCTTTTCCTTCCCTCCGCAGCAGCACCTGCAAGTCACAGACGTTTGAGGAACGAAGCTCTCCCGTTCCAAGTCGCAGGCAAGTAAGATGATCTTGATCATGAGGCCACAAAGCAGCAGGTTCACCTCACAATCTGAAGGGATGTGAGCACTATATCCTTCTTGATTCATGGATGTCCATACGTATTCTTCGGAGTTCATTCGCTGTCCAGTCCAACCTCGCCAAATGAACGACATGCGACATGCCGAGATCCATGGAGAACCTGAGTCCTTGGCCGAGCCAGTCACACTGTTCTCATGGGCTGACAAGACCTGACTCAAAATTGGCCATCGAAAGCGGCCATGGTGAAAACCCCCCGGGACTTCAAGCTCTGCGCCCCAAATACCCCTTCGCCCCATGTACTAAAACCCGGTTCTGACCCCGCCCGAGGTTCGCCGCCGCGGCCCGCAGGTTTGGGGTCAGCTTCCGAGGTGTCGGCCCATCCAAAGAGAAGACTTCCACAAATGCTGCCGAGATTGAAAATGGTCATGATGTTGGCCTCGTGAAGAACCGAATGTTGCGGCTGCCGTGGCGCCGCAACTCGCGGCCGCGGGATGCTGGGCTAGGGGACTGTTCCAGTGGCTTGGACTTCAGAATACAAGGAGACCCCCAGAGTCACTGCAATTCATTCCATATTATATATATATATACTAGGAACAAAGATGAACAAAGGGCATCGCTACTAGGAGCAAGAAAGCTACTAGGGGCTCCCCGGCCCTACTACTAGGAACAAGTGTATATATATATAATATAAATATAGGTGTGTGCTATTTTTCAAATAGGGAGACCCCCTAACATCCCCCAAGCGGATGTCTTTCCCTTCTTCGGGTTCTGAAAGCAGGTCTCTCTAATACACACCCATATATTCCTCTTCTTGGGGGTCTTTGCTTCAAATCACACAAATTGATCTCTCTCTCTCTCTCTCTATCTGTCTGGGGACGCTACGATGAACCGGCCACGCTCTTTCTGCTGAAGCCGTTCTTGGGAGATGGAGTTGAAGTAAGTGGTGACCTGAAAACAAAGGGTGGAGAACTTCGGCATCCACCAAGTGCAGAGATCGCAGGGGTCATGCACGAGTGGTCCACCTTTCTCTACAACACCGACGTGCGACACACAGAAAACCACACACGGAGCCGGACTCCGCTTGGTGAGCCGGACTCCGCCCAGCGAATGGATTCTGAGCTGTGGGCGATGTTATTTACAGAGATGGTGACAATCCATGCACCCACCTTTGAGGCTACGAGAAATCCGTCAAGCTGTGGTGAGACCAAATGCTTTAAGGCAGAGGCCAAATTGAAAACTAGTGAGCCACTGCCAAAGCTGCTGCTCAGCAGCCTCTGCAAGGTCAACATAAAAAGATATAAAAAGGATAGCAAGAAGCTACTAGTAGCTTCTGGTTACTAGTAGTAATGCCCTTGTTACTAGTAGCAATGCACTTGCTACTAGTAGCAAGGAATATCAAGGAATCCTATCCGTTAAGCCAATGATGCGGATCGCAGAATTACCTGCGCTGGGCTTCGAGCACCATACCGGCCAGCAAAGCCATGGTAGAAATCTGTCCGACGATGCCGAAGTTTACTCCCACCTACAAGTAGGAACAAAGGAACAGAACGTAACAAAGTGCATCGCTAGGAGCGAGGGCCTTACTACTAGGACCGGAAGAATGTTTGCTAGTAGAAACAATAGTAGTAAATTAGAACTTACAGATTGGCATGTTGTGTTCCGTCTTTCAAGCCAGTGAATAAGGACCAGGCCCACAATTGGCAAACCTTGTGGTTGGTCGAGTATGACTCCAGCATGTAGATCCTGCACAAAAACAATATAGTTTCCTGTTCAGTGGTCCATTGCCAAAAGGAATTTGCCACTTCTTGCACTTTGCATCAATTGGCTCAGTTGTCTGTCCCTAATATTCCCACGCCCATTTCTTCGGGTCTGGGTGGCTGGCATTGCATTTGACAGGAAGGGTCCTGCCTGAGAAAGCGGGGAGCGACACCGGTAGCCCTGCTTGATCCTGCTTCGCATATGCCATATGCGCTGATATCAGCACAACCCCACCAAGAGAAACTAAAGCATTGTAGTTTCTCCACATGTCTTTCCTGCCATCTTCGCATCGGTTTTGATCTTCAACGGGCTTGGACTGGTCCCGTCCCGTCAAAGCCGCCGTTCCTTTTGATGTCCAGGGCGAGCATCACCTGGTGCAGCAGGTCATCCACGACCTGGAGGGGGCGCCGGTCGTGGGTCCGCGGCACCAGTAAAACCCCCGTCCACCTCTCCTCCCGCTCCGACCAGTGATGCCCTTTGCTACGTTCGTAGCTTCTTGTTCCTAGTAATGCCCTTGTTACGTTCGTAGCGATGCCCTCGTTACTATAGTAGCAAATTAGCTACCAACCTCCCAAAAAAGGTGGTGTTTCAACAAATGCCAATGTTTGCCAGTGAGCAGCACATCCGAAAAGAAACCGCAGCTCATCCGATGATTTCAGATGCCCAATACACTTTGATGCCCAATGGTGGATCCACTGTCCCAGGGTCAACGGGTCCCCCAACTGTCCGATCCAGCTCGGACTTCTCTCGCTCTGCGACCCTGAGAGGTTGGTGCTTCAACTTGAATTCTCACAAGAGGCCATCAACGATGTCCAAAACTCCCATGGGATTCAGGCTGCTTGAAAAGCACCGGGAAATGCACCGAATTCAAAGGGTAGAGGAAGACCTCGGCAGCAATGGAGACATCCGTGCCAAAACAAACAAAAAAACCTGGGGTTCCTGGAGAGGCCCCTTGGTCTCTCTGGACCCAACGTCTTCTCCAGGACCAACGTCTTTTGAAAAAGACTGGAGAAAGTGGAGAGTGTCTCTGAGTTGCTCTGAGTTGCTCTGAGTGGCACCAGTGTGTCTCTTTGCTATGAGTTACTCCTGACTCAGTGTGTCTCTGAGTCTCGCCATGAGTCTCCGCTTTCCTGTTTTCTCAGTGTTGCACGTTGGTGACCTGACAAACGTCACGTGCCAAGCAGTCAAAGGGCCAGAAAGACGACTGGAGGGTGAATCTTTGAGTGAGTGAAAGATCGAGGTGTGCTCTGTTCCTTTCCAAGTCTTTCACTTGCATCCTTGGAACATGTTGAAAGGTATTTGGAGACACACCCAAACTTCAGAGCGGCTGAGGAGACCGACGAGTGTATTGATGATGAGAAGCTGGAGAACTTTGTCCCTTCTCAAAGAGGTCACGCCATCCACAACCTTCACCAGGATGACAAATGGTCCAATGCCAGGTTCAGGTCCAATGCGCTGGGGGCCATCAAGAGAGCACACCTGAGAGCCACACCTGCTGCAATAAGCCGCCAAGCTTCTGAGCAACCTGAAGCTGCATCCTTGCTCCTAGTAGCGATGCCAGGAGCCCCTAGTAGCTTCTTGTTCCGAGTAGTACGGCCAGGAGCCCCTAGTAGCGAACATTGCTCCTAGTAGCGACTGCAACAAGCAACCTCTTCCTTGCTTGGGCTTGTGTCGTAAAAGCCTCTGTAAGGGCTGGGCAGTTGGTTGTGAAGCTCCATTCTTGGTCTCTCTGCGAGAGGCTGGCTCCAGGACCTGAGAATTCCAGTGCGGGGAGGTATCTCAAGGCTCCAGGACCTGAAGTTGAAGCAAAAAATGTGTTTTTTTGGCTTTTAAGATTATTAAGACATGCTTTGACTACTCCATAAACCACAAGATCCCATGGTACGTTGCCAGGTCCTTTCCACACAAACAGTGACCAAAGACCATCCATCGCTCTCGGTGAGGCGCTGTGACCATCATCCGCAGCACAGACATCAAAGCATACATCAAACAGCCTGAGGTGAATCAAACGCAAACACGACGTGCAACACGAATCCAGCAAATATTTGTTTATGATGCTTTGTAGTGGGGCCCAAATCGATGACCAAAATACAGTGTCTCAAAAGAAAGCAGCTGATAGCCGCTTGAGAGTGGAGTTTCACCAGGGGGCCATGCATGGCTTCCATCAGCTTGCGCCCACTCTGAGCTTCTGGCTCAGCAGCACTGCAAAGTTGAATCCATGACTGGACGAGACCACGGCATAGGCAAAGGGCGCCAAGTACCGGCCGATCTGAGCGAAGAAGAGCAACCGGGTTACCCGAGGGTTTAGGGTTTACATGGGTTTACCCTGTTGGGTTGCGGACCAAAGACTGCAAGGGTTGGTGGATGAGAACTGCATTGAAAAGTAGAAGTAATTATATATACCAGTAACTACGATACAAATGTACTAAAAAATGTACTGCACCATCTAGCTGTCGAGGTGTTCCCCACAATCTTCTTTCATCCTGTTTCCTCTCCTGTCCTCCACTACTTCAGGTTCTTTTTCTTCGGAACGCGTCTCGGAAACCCCCCCAACATCCGGCCACTCGCGGCGTCCGACCGCGTCGACCGCGTCGACCGCTGGGCGCCTTATCACAGGTCAAGTCCCATCCGTTGATGATGGCCAAGTCCTCCACTCCAAGTCCCATCCGTTTGTTCCTCCGGTTCCTCCGGTTCCTCCCACAACGGAGTGGTTTCCTCCCGCTTGCGGAGACACCGCCTCCGATCCGGTCCGGAAAGTCTACCGGCTCCGGTCGCCGGAAGCTTCCCAAGTGGAGAGTTTCTCTTTAAGCCAATCCATCTTTGGGTTCCTCTTTTTGTGAGTCTACTCTACAAAATCGCTCTTCACTTAAAGAAAAATGGGCTCTTTGAAACTATAACAAACATATACAAAACGACCAATTCATAGATTTCATAGGCTCTTCTCTCTCCATCCTTTGGCGCGTCTCCTCCCTCCTCCCTCCGCGTCTCCTCCCGCGCCGCGGCGACCGCCGGCGGCATCGACTTCGTCACGGGCTGCGAAAAGGCGAAGAGCAAGCCGAGGCCTTCTCGACGCGCCGCGCGGCCGCGCGTCGTCGCCTTTCCGGCGCCACGGGGGGGTTGCCCTTTGGAGGGTCGAGTGGATGAGGTGCGGGAGCGGAAGTCGTGCGAATGAGTGTGCCTTTTTTTTGGAAAGAGACGTGCGTTCCGAAAGACCGTGGAGAAAGTGGACGTCGAGTTCCCCAATTTGGGCAGACCATGAGAAGACACGACACCAACAGAGGAGGGAAAAAGAAAAGATAAGAAAAGAAACTTCGTTCTGTAGATGTGTCCTTGCTTTTTGCAAAAGCATGAGGAGGGCCGTCATGTGGCTTCACCGTGCCCTACGGACGATCTTCAGCTAGTTCACCACCAGAGGTCGGGCAAATGTCTGGTCATCCAATGGAAATCAACAGAGTCAAGATGAAGTCAACCGACCGGTGCAGAAGCCAAAAGACATTCAAGTAAACAGAGGCGAGACTCAGTAAAGCCAAAGCCACTTGGATGGAACCCTAGGCTTAGAGTGTATCTCAGCCCATCATGGAGGCCTATATTCAGGGCAAACAGCATCCTGCTATGATGTTGGCCACACGCAAGCATCGCCACTGCAAGAACCTCGGAATTTTCACAGTTGGCGGATTGGTTCTTTGGGTTGCCAAAAAGCACAAATTGACAAAATAGCACAACTTGTGTTCGCAGTAAAGATAGAAAGAATTCGGATTTAGATCCCATTGTTTCTATCTACCAGTGGAATCCAATGGCGTACCCTACACGACCTGTGGATCTCCCTCTTTCACACCCCTGGTCGCAGGTTGCTGGGACTGACAACGATCTGAGGTGTCAACCAGGTTGAGAGCCTGGTCGACAGCATGGCTCTTCACGTGTTCGCTGAGCAGAGGCATCAAGCACCGCATCAAGCTACCACAGTTCTGTTGGATCTGCAAAAAGATGGGAGAACTCTGAAGAGGATGGCGCCATCCTGCAGCCTTCACTCTCGTGAAGGCGCTCACTCACGGAGTTTCACGCCTCTGAGGCGACGTACATTCGTTTCAAGGCGAAGTTGTCGGTCAACAGGCCCGCCACCTGTGACACCTGGATTCTCCGGGGGACGTCGACCGTCGAGCGGGTCGCGGCTGAAAGGTGAAGGCTCAGGAAGGTGGTAGAACCACAGAGCGGTGGCGGGCCGTTCTCCCACGGTGCAAAGTATGAATGCTGGTACTACCACTTAGGTATTACATTGGGATGACCAAACACTGCGGCAATGCAAACAAAAAATCAAAACTATGTCCCCAGAGTGCAACCTAGGGATGTCTTTGTCTCAGATATGGTTTTGACATGTTTTCGCTTTCCTGGCTGCTCTTCAACCTCGGAGGTGCCTTCGGGTTCATCCCGAAAAGATCTGAGCTCATCACCAACATGCGCGCCACATTGGTCGCCACTTGTGCTCCAGCAAATTGAAAAATGCCTCCAGCCTCGACGTATCACTTCACTTCGGCGGTTGAAACCAACCCCTTTTGTAGGGACCCCACTTCCAGCAGCTCATATCTTGCGGCCTGAGAGCCAGGAACAGCTTCTGCTCTCCCAAACAGGCTTAAGATCTAAAGTTTCGACAGATTCTCATTCTTCATCAAACCCCTCTAAGCCCCTTGCAGTCACCAGGAAGGAGTTGGCAAACCGTGAGCCGAACCTCCGCGTGGCCGAACCAAACACTCCCCGTCCGGAACTCACTCACGTCCCTTCTCCCAGGATCGGCCGTGCCGACACGGGCGGGGGGCGCACTGGAGCCCGATGAAGAGAAGAGCATTTCTATCCAACATGGCTCTCAGGGATCGTCATTGGATCGACCTTCCGCCATGCAGGCGCTGAATTCGAAAGAAGGGGGATACGACTCAAACTCACTGGCGAAATGGATTGTTTTCAGACTGTCTCGTGCTTTTTGAGGGGAAAGGTGGAAAGGCTGTTCGATCTATTCCGGAGTGGCTGCATCTTAGAACCTGCGCATCACGTTATTGATCGTGTTTTCGGTTTTCTGCGGCTAAGCAGCTGCAGTGTCAAGCAGAAGCATTTACACAGACTTCCAACTTTTGACCACTGAATCTTCTTGCCCTCTGTCCAATATGACAACCACGAACCTTCAGCCAATACCCAAGTCCGGCACGAGGGGATGAAGCGTCAGACTGCGTGTTTCTCCACAAGAGGAATGTATGCAAACATGTCGTCGCTCAGATCGCACATGCTCTTCCCTTTCTATTAGCTCTTAGATAGTTTCAGTAGTCGCGTCGCGTCTGTGACATTGCTCATAAAGACTCCCACCAGCCGCACTTTAGCTGGCTAGCTGCTCTGCTGCGGATGCCAGTGGCGCAAAGCCACCAAGACGGCCGCCAGAACCGGAGCCCAGGCAGCAGCCGTGTTTGCCAAGGCAAAGAGAATGCAAGTGATGTCCTAGCGATACGGCGAGCTGGAAGAGGTCCAGATGGAACCTGAAAACCACTGGGTGTTTTGGAGGAAAATCACAGGTTCCATGTGGGTCTCTTCCCGGGTGTACCAGCTGCTGGAGGCATGGCAGCGTGTGTGAGCCCAGTGTCTGCAACGAAAAACGTGGAGATCACTGGTTTTTGGTCCCGGTCGATTGACTCCCCAAGTAGAAAAACTGGACCCTTTGCGCTTTTAGCTTTTTTGTTTGTGGACATGCGGTTCTTCAAACGGAAGACCCCCTTGGCACCATGTTTCTTTTGTTGCGGGGCAATCATTTGAAACACCACGCCACCGTACGACCGTACCGTGTCCTGACAGAGGCGGCCAACTAGACCGGTCACTCCAGACTGGTTGGTGGTCGGAGCGTATTCATGGACGATATTGTTTGCTGCCAGCTTGGCAGCATGCACAATCCCTGCATAGATGCCCCCACAGGCACCAATCACTGCCAATACTGCAGGGAGCAGGCCGACACCTCCAGGCATGGCTGATCACCGCCAAGGGAAACCGAGGGAACCGTTTCGTAGAATCAAAGAGCTACGACTCGCTTGGCGGCTGCGGCTACCGCGCGAAGGACGATCTCAAGCAAGCACGAACCTGCTGATGGCCCAGGGAAAAGCTGGCCTACTGATCAAAGAAACCGAGTCGAGTGGGAAAGCCTGAACACGAGAATGCTTGTTTTTCCTCGAGGTGCAAACTGACTGTGGAATTCCTCACAAAGTGAGACGCGGCCGCCACATGTTTCCCGAGCTCAACCATCAAAGATCCACCAAAAGGAGGAAATACCTTTAGTATCCTTCAGTTCTGATTCGAAACAAATGCCAAGTTGCGAATGGTCATTGCAAATTCTGTATCATGTCCAATGCCAATTGGTTGGGCAGGTCAGAAGTTTCTCTATGATCCCAGCCCAGCCCACGGGCTGTTGAGGAGACATGTTGCTTTCCGATGTTCCAACCTCAACAACTCGCTTGGAGGCCTGGTATTTTCATCCAGGACACGATGTTCGCTTCTCTATGTGCAAATGGCTTTGCCAATCCAGCTTTCTCGAAAAAAGCCGGAGGTGAGATGCATCACCCCTTTGTTAACGTGAAACACCGCCAAGTCTGGCGGTCGAACGGCGACTAAACCGCCGGTTTCAAGTCACACGCCTTTAGACCAGGCCTTTCCAACCGGAAGGACGGGCAAATCGTGCGGCCAAAAAGGAAGAATCGACCCAAAATCGATGACATGAAAACCATCTCTCTCCCCTAGCCTTCCAAAACCACTCTAAAAAAATCTTTGACCTGGTTTTGAAGCCTAAAATCTGTTGTACAACAATCGTGATTCGGGGATTCAGGCTATTGAATCCATGGTGAACTAGTTTCACCTTGGACTCTCCGGTGAAAAGAACCCGCTGCTCTGCTTTTCGCCCCAGCTTGGCGCCCCCGACACGGGCGCCCCTCGGAGAATCTGCAGGAGGCCCTGAGGATGCTCCGCCCCGATGTTCGGACTCCCAAGACTTTGAAAGTCCCAGTGCTATGGAAAGACCACTGGTGATTAGCCTCTGTTAGCCTCTGGTGACTCGAAATCACGCCAGAGATGTCTGTCAGAGAGGGACTTGCCCCCATCCAAACACTCCTTTTCGCTCCAAAGCATCAATCTATAAATGCTCTTTTTGCACGCAGCAGCACAGCCCTGCCTCACCGGTTCCTGAGATGAATGGCACCTGAAAAAAGTCGAAGCTTCAAAATGCTTCAAAGCACTTCGTGGTCGTCAAGTGTCGAGTGCTGAATAAATGTGATGAGACGGTCATGGCGCTGCACTCAGCCCCCGGCGTTCGCGGTGTTTTCGGCAAAAGTCTCGAGGAGCTTTCGGCTATCACGGCCTGTACATCATGCAATTCATAACTTTAAGCTTTCCGATCTGATTGTGAACCATCTTGATGATTGAAATCTTGGATCTTTTTATCCTACTACCACAATAGGGTGACGTTCTTTGCATCTCCTTAATGATAATGACTGTCACACCAGCATAACGCAGTTTTTAAGTCGCCAGCCAAGAACTGCCGCCATCTCGAAGTCTGCTGTCTTCTCCTTTACCTTTGTGTCTTTCCTGCACAAGGTCGTAGCGTCGGAGCAACCCGCCCAGAACTTCATGCCACGAAGACTGTGGTCACCGTAGTCTTTCTCTCACCGTCGCACGGCAAATCCCACTGAACTGTGTTTCATCTGTTTGCAAAGTTTGCACAGCTGTACGATGACATTCTTTGCTCTTCTGCGTCCCATCCCAACATGCCATTGCTTCAGAGCCCATTCTCTGCTCCGCCTGGGCAAGCCCGCCTTCCCTCCAGCTTCCCCGTCGTCGCCTCAATAACCCCAAGGAATCGATCGACGGCGGCCGACCTCTTTTGATCCAACACGGTGCGAATTGTGAGTGCTCTTTGAACAAGTACGGGCGGCGCGAATCAATCCACGGGATTTTGTTTGCTTCACATACATAATAAATGAAACAAAGCGTGCCCTCTTCGTCATCTCCCTCTTCATCTTCTGCATCTTCCTCCTCCTCGTCTTCCTCGTCCTGAAGATGGTATAAAATGATGATGTTGTTTGGTCAAGTAAAGGTTCAAGAACTCATCCCCATACCTATGAGGACCTATGCACCCTCAAGGTAGCCTGGACTTGCCAAGGCTTCGCCACCCATCAACCGGAATCCACAAAACATCCGCAAAACGGTTCACACCTCTGGACACCGTGGCTTAGTCCATCTGTGTCTTGACGAGTCATCGCGAGTATAGGTCATGTGTGCCGCATCGATCCATCTATCTTTGTGTATTTCCACACGTGGCCACCCTGGCCCAATGGATCATTGGATATGATCGGTCTACGTTACTTCTTCCAGGGGGTCTTTCACTGGGAGGTCTCCTCTTTTTTATCGCACCCATCTGACCAACTGAGCGCACATCGATGTGCATGAGATCATGGCTCGGACACTTCTTGAAAACCAACGCCCTCTCCTCGCCAGCTCCAGTGAGGCGCCCCTCTAGCAGGGCGATGAAATCTGTGGTGCCCTTTTGGAAGCCGTCCTGGTCAGCTGGTTCCCATGGGGACCGTGTGACAGATTCTGATCTGGGACGGACTAGGTCTTGTTGGTGTGAAAAAACAGCATAGGAATGAGCACGTCTTTCGGGTCACCTAGGTCCTAGGTCGATCTCGCTTGACCCATCCCCAACTGACAGCTGACAGCTAGCGCAGTGTGTCACCCGGGCCTCACAGCAACCCAAAGAACCGTTCCACACTGCACCCCGACTCCGTCGTAGCAGTATCCTCACAAAGGAAATCTGCTGATGTGCAAGGTGAGGGACTCTGATGTACCATGCAAATCAAATCCATCACACCGAAACTTCTCAGAACCTGGGAGTATCATCGGCCTCAGCTGCTCGATCGTTGCTGGTCCAATGTCTTTCACCATCCACTTCTCTGGCACTCCATCTGGGAAGATCTCCGGCGGTTCCTGAGATACTCTCACCGCGGCACCAGCTGTCAGATCCATTCTGCCGGATCCCATGGAAGAGCGCATGGGATCTGTCGAAATCGGTCGAATCCGTGGGGGTGATGGTGTTTCTTGCCACCTTGGGATCCACATGACGTTCACTTCAGCTTTTTGCTTCTTCCCCTCATGAGACTCAGGACTCTAAGCTGATGATTTCGAACGTCTTCGCGCGCCTGGGGTGTCCCTTCGTCGGCACCGGCGTCGGCGTGGGCGTCGGCACCTGGTTGGCCAAGATGAAACAGAATCGTCGACCAAAAGAGCTAAACCTACCATGCTGGGGTAGATGTCAACAGAATTGGCCTTCATTCATCCACCTGCACCGCATAAATACAAATAGATACAAATATACCATTGCCCCCCCCCGCCTGCCGCTTCAGTCCCTTCAGCCGTGGGGTTCGCGTCCGCCGCTTCAGTCGCTTCGGCCGCCGGGTCGTCCGCGGCAGCGGAGAACACCTCCGCCCTGCGATGGGCGCCGCTCGGCCACGGCCAAGCTGCGGGCGACCGGAGACGGTTCGGGACAAAAACAAAGGACCTCTGCAGTCACCGAGAGGTCACTGAAGGTTTCTTTCTACCAAGAAGGTCCACTTCTCTGATGCGGAGGTCGTTTCCGCATCTTGGAGGATTTAGTTCACTACAGCACGCACTCAGTGAGCCACTCGGCATGTGGGTCTCGTAGGCGCAGAAGACCCTGTGCCGGGTCCAAGTCAAGGTGGTACTCTCCTCAGCTTCGCCAAGATTCAAGAATCTCCTGGCACTTGTTACCATGCTTTTGTTGGTAATTCCAAACTCAATATCAATCCATATCAATCCCAAGTGAAAGCTCTGAGCTCTGTTCTTCCTTCTGAGAAGCCCAAGAGCAGCGGTGGTCGCTTTCCGAGCTGTTTCCAAGGTGCCTGGGCGGAAAACCCCCCGAG